CATCATCGTACTGTTCGCCCTCTAACGTGTAGTGGATTCCTACTACACGTTTCTCAACGGTTATCGATGCGCCTGTTGCAAGGCGCACCGTCATCCTTGTGAGGGGGAATGTCGCGCTCAACGAACTTGAGCCTACGACCCTCTAGTGACTGGCGACGAACAAAATTGTTCGACGCCCCACAGTCTACTAGGGCACGAAGCGACAAATCATTTGTCGCTTCCAACTTCAAGGTGATGAGCGAAACGTCATCACCAGGTGCAGAGACACACAACGATTGTGTATCTGGAGCAACTTTCGTCAAGAGATTTGCAAATTCTCTTGAGGTTGCTGGATCAGTAGGGCGCTCCGCCCCTACTGACCCCGACCATTTTTTGATGGTCCGTCTCGCTGTTGCGGCTTCGCAACAGCGCTGGACCCACGCCCATTGCCCTTTCTGGCAAAAGGTCGTCCATTTCGCTCAATACTGTTTGGTACTGGGCGTGGAGCACTACACTCGTATGCGTAGTGCCCTAACTTCTGACAGCGATTGCACCTCTGCAATCGCTTGTTGTTTGTAGAGCGAGGTCTCTCGCTCTCAACATAGCAGAGGTCCATTGGTTCTGGACCTCCGATCTCTTGTCGTCTCGGTGGACGGTAAGAGTTTGAGCTAGCATGAGCCTGTCTCATGCTAAAGTCTTCCTGTTCCGCGGCTGATATCGCTTCTTCAAGCGTATTCAGCTCAAGGCGGAACAGGTGGCTCCTGACGGGCCCTTCTGCGAGCCCTTGCATGAACACCGTAATCAACGTGTGTTCATGTACTGGGTTGGCAGTTATACTACTCGCAAGGAGTCGTATATGTTGTGCGTAAGCGTGCACATCACGCTTACCCTGCTTGAGTTTCAGGAGCTCTGAGCGAGCCCTGAACTCAGCACGTGGCGGCTCAAACGTTTGTCTGAGCCGGGACTTGAAGTCATCTAGCGACCTAAACACATTTGGGTCGCTACTCTCGAGTCCCAGGGACCAAGTTTTGGCACGCCCTGCCAAGTGGGTCTGAGCAAATGTGAGTTTCATTTGCTCATCTTCGACGCGACGAGCCCTTAGGGCTCTGTCGAGTTCGACAAACCATAGTAACAGGGAGTCCTCCGGGACTCCACTGTACTTGGAGATGTCGACTTTCATGACTTCGGGACGACGCGCATGCGCCGTCCCGCCCACAGCAGCATGGAATTGCTGCTGTCTCAACAGCTCCGTCTGTTGAGCACCGAGTTCTCTCAACTGCTCGGCCTGTTGAGAGCCTTGCTGGTGAAGCAAGGCTACTTTCTCCCTCTCGAGAGCAAGTTCATTCTGAATGAACTTGGCGATAGCGGCATGTTGTTGGTCTCTGTCTAGAGACTCCAACATGGTGCTGACGACGAGTTCGCCTACGGTAGAACTCATTCGTTCTACCGCACCCCATTCGATGTCACTCAAATGGGTAAACCCTTCACGCGTGGCGTGAAAGGTGTCTTCTTCATCCAACATGTTCATGTTGGATGATGTGGTCCTTGGAAGGACTACAAAGTGCTACCAGGTGTAACGGGGCACACCCTTGCGTAACTTAACGCAAGGGTTTTGAGTGCCCCGACAGACGTACACGTGGCAAGCGAGGAAGCGTAGGTAGGGTAAAAGTAGAACTGTTATATTAATAAATTAAGTCTTTAAACTACTGTCTCTTCGTTTGACTTAATTCAATTATACTAATATAACTGCATGTATGGTGACGTCTCGTCACCACTCATTGCGCGCGTCTTGCGGCGATTGGTGGGTTGATATCATCACGATATCAACCAATGAACAGACCCTTTGGTCGACCCTTCAATATCACCACTTTGGTGATATTGTTTTAAAGAATATCCATCTTTATATTCTTTATTGTCACTTTCCTTAAAGTGACAATTTCATGTAACGGGCTGCCCCGTTACAGTCACTGACCAGTCGATATGTACTGCACACCATCTATCGCACTCCGCTGCACTAACGGAACGAAGTCCCCATCCAGAAATTCTCAATCGGATTCTAGTCCAAATACGTCAACGACCACTTCACAATGTTAATCTCGTAATCAGGAAAAGCCAGCACTTCATCACCTACAAGATGCAAGTCGGAGCATTGTCGTGCTAGAAGGATTGAACAACTGCAATGTCAAAGGCTGCGAACGGGTCTGTAGTGTTGCGATGAACTCGGCAGATTTGACGCTATAGTCACAGAGCTTTTGACACGCCTTTTGCGTTCCCGCGACTACGTATTTATCTGTGGATTCCCACGGTCGCGGTGGCTCATGGGATCGTACTAGCAGGAGGTGTCAATTTCGGCTACTTTGGATACGACGAACAAGGTCAATTGGCGGACGATTGACCGCGCCGCATGATATCGGTCACTTGGTCCCAATTGTCATTGACCAACTTCCAACCGACTGCGTGCAAACGAAAGGGAAAGAGTCTGTCTGTCTGTCGGACTTGACCAAACAGGTCGTTTAGCGCGCGCTTTCAACCCCCGTAACCGCAGCGCCGGAAGCAGTGGAATCCGTGTGATCCACACCAAATCCGTTCGTCCCTCTCACGCACCCTCTTTTCTGCCTATATAAAGTCCTACAGGTACTTGATCCAAACTTGCTACCGTCTACCTCAGGATATGCGATTCGAAAACTAACTCGGCTTCGTGGCGACCACAAAGCCCGACCCAACCAGCGCACCCGACAGCCGCGAGCAGCTCCACGTGCCTGTCCCCCTCCCCCTTGCCATCGCCTGCACAGGACCAGTCCAGCATGCAGCGTCTCGCGTCGGTGACCCTCGCCACACTCGCTGCGCTGCCGAGAGCGCGCGCCGCGTTCTACGTGCCCGGTGTCGCGCCCGAATCCTGGGCCTTGGGCGAGTCAGTGCCTCTCAACGTGAACAAGATCACGTCTACCAAGACGCTGGTGCCGTACGAGTACTACTACCTGCCGTTCTGCCAGCCCACGACGATCCACGAAGAGCAGGAGAACCTCGGCGAGATCATGGCCGGCGACGCGATCATGGAGTCGCTCTACCAGATGCACATGGAGAAGGACGCGATCTGCCAAGTGCTGTGCAAGCCCATGACGTACACGGCCGAGCAGTCGAAGCTCTTTATTGACATGATCCGCGACGAGTACTACGTGCAGTGGGTCGTGGACAACCTCCCAGTGCTCTACCGGGACCCAACGGACACGCAGCAAGCCGGCTCGCTCAAGCGGGGCTACCCTGTGGGCGAAGTCGATGAAGACGGCAACTACTTGCTCTACAACCACGTGCGGATCATTATCTCGGTCAACGCGGATCCGTACGCGGAAGAGAATGGCGATGCACCCAAGTGGCGCATCGTGGGCTTTGAAGTCGTGCCGACGTCTATCAAACATCGATACGAGAATGAACCGATGCCGGGACAGGAACTGGACTCGGACACGTGTGGCAAGTTTGTGAACATTGAAGAAGTGTCGCAAGGCAATTACCAGTACTTGAGTCCAGAGGGCGAGACGTCGGTGTTGTACACGTACGACGTGCAGTTTGTCAAATCGGACATTGTCTGGGAAGAGCGCTGGGACCGCATTATTAGCAGCAAGAGCTCGAACGATCAGATCCATTGGTTTTCGATCATCAACTCGCTCATGATTGTGCTGTTTTTGACTGGCATGATTGCCATGATCATGTTGCGCACGCTTCATCGTGACATTGCTCGCTACAACGAGGTGCAAACTACAGAAGAGGCACAAGAAGAGTCTGGGTGGAAGCTTGTGCACGGCGATGTGTTTCGCCCGCCACAGCTTTCGCCGATGCTGTTTTCGGTAGCTGTCGGAACTGGTGTCCAGGTGTGCTGCATGAGTGCATCGACGATGATTATCGCGCTGCTGGGTCTACTGTCGCCGGCCAACCGCGGTTCGCTGCTGACGACGCTGCTGTTGCTTTTCGTGTTCATGGGCAGTTTTGCTGGCTACCACGCGTCACGCACGTACAAGATGTTCAATGGCAAAGACTGGAAGAAGAACACCGTGCTTACGGCTGTGATGTACCCGGGTCTGCTATTCACCGTGTTCTTCTTGCTGAACCTGGTGCTGTGGGGCAAGGCGTCGTCCCAGGCTGTTCCCTTTGGGACGCTTTTCGCTTTGTTGGTCTTGTGGTTCGGCATTTCTGTGCCGCTCGTGTTCCTCGGTAGCTACTTTGGCTTCAAGGCTGCTGCCATTGAGCACCCTGTACGCACGAACCAGATTGCCCGTCAGATTCCGGAGCAAGTGTGGTACTTGTCTTCGCCTTTCAGTATTCTGGTCGGCGGCATCCTACCGTTTGGCGCAGTGTTTATCGAGCTCTTCTTCATCATGTCGGCGCTGTGGTTGCACCAGATTTACTACGTCTTCGGCTTTCTCTTCATTGTGCTATTGATTCTGGTAGCAACGTGCGCAGAGGTGACGGTTGTGATGTGCTACTTCCAGCTATGTGCCGAGGACTATCGCTGGTGGTGGCGCTCGTTCCTTACGTCGGGGTCTGCGGCCGTGTATCTGTTCCTCTACTCGTTCCTGTACTTCTTCACGAAGCTGAACATCACGGCGTTTGTCTCCGGTATTCTGTACTTCGGCTACATGTTCCTGATTTCAGTGACGTTCTTCTTCCTCACGGGAACTATCGGCTACTTTGCTTGCCTCTGGTTTACGCGCAAGATCTACGGCTCGATCAAGATTGACTAGGCAGGTGATCAGCAAGTTAGCAATTTGCAAACTTTGTCAGAGACAAGTCGCTGAGTGGACGGAGACGGCAGCGCCAACGACGAAGACACGGCTTGGTTTGCGAAAAACGGAGCGACACGAGGAGCAATACGTGGGGCGGACCAGTTGCGGCACTGATGAGTTCTTCAACTCGAGTCCGTGCACGTGTTGACTGCTTCCCTCTTGCTATGGATGTGTAGGAGAAGGCTGAAGGAACCCGAAAAAAATAAACCTCGTTTCGATCGTAAGAGCTTGAGCACTCGCATGTTACAACGTCCGCCAGTCTGCTAGCCACGGGTGCTTGTTCACCAACTGCTGAGCCTGCGTTTGCCATGAGCTGACTATATCGATTGACACAACGGTTGTATGTGTGTTGCCAACAGCTTCCAAGACCAAGTCGCTCGGTGTCGCAATGAGATCGGCAGGCGTGCCGAGCTTTTGAGTCTCCAGCCACTGCACCAAATCAGTTTCGCCGACAAGTTCCACCATCCAGTCGTTGATCTCATCAAGACGCGCCTGAAAACAAATGCACATGCACAAGCGAAAGTCAGGAGCCATCGTCATTGGAAACAAATCATCGATCCGCGACGCTGTTGCTCACCTCATCGATCAGCTTCTCGATCCTTTTCCGCACTGTCTCAGCTGACGGGTCCGATGGGTTCACAAGAGCATGCATTGCGGAATCCACACAAGCGTCCGCTAATTCTCGCCGAGTAGTGATAGCTGCTTTTTGCAGCAACGTTGCAATGGAAGCGCCTGTGATTTGAGCCACTTCATCATCGACTTCGTCGCACCCGCCACGACGCCCAATGTCCACCAAATTGGCGCAGATCCAAGGATCGACCTCGAGCTCGATCTTAGCTGCCTCGTCGAGAGAAAGAACACGTGCTTTGCTGCAAATGTCGCAGTAGATGGTGACAGCGTCTTCCACGTCGTCCTCAGCCACCTCTTCACTTCCGTTGTCAAACACAACTTGTTTCCTCAAGCGTTGTTCAGCGGGACTGACCTCCTGAAGGAAGGCAGCTATTGTAGCACTTGCCCGCAAGCTTCGGTCATATCGAGATAGCGCTGCTTGTGCCGCTGCACCCCGCAGCGTGTTAGGAGTTGCTTGCTTCACCGAGAGAGCCGGGGGTGGCTGAGCACACTTTGTTTCCGCAGCGTCTTGCTTGGTCTCTTTGTCAACGTCGGAGTCTTCTTTACCCGCCTTTGACTTTCCTGCTTCAGCTTGACCAGGCCTGCTTCGTTTTGTCCCCTGTTTTGGCGCTGCCTTCTGAGAAGCCGACCCACCTTCTCGAACATGGCTTTGTTTCCACGAAGTATAGTACTCTTCGTTTGCCTAGATGGTCGAATAGAGAAACACACGCGAGTACAGGATCATTAGCCTGTGCGCCTGAAAGTTACAGCAGAAAGTATGTGATCGGTGTCGTACCTTTGCTTCCAGAGCCTTCTCAGACAATAGCCTGTCAAGAGCAATTGCACGGTTAAGCCCGAACCACGCCAGTACCGACAGCACAGTAGAACGCACCGTGTACGGATATCGATGAACGACCAGTCTTCATCTGGCACAAGGTCAGCTAGCCCAACTGCCACGTCTCCGTCATATAAACGCGCAATGTTCCAGAACACCCGCGTGGATACTTGAGCCATGTTGAACGGCTTCAGCATCTCACGCCCAGTCTCGCCACCTGATAGTAGAACATATTTCACAATGGCTTGTAGCTCGTCGTTCTTGAGCAGTTCTACAATCTCCTCCTTCCACTTGCGTGCCGTCTCCTTGAATCGCACACGCAATGTAGCGGCGCTGCCGTCGACGCGTCGACTCGTCGATAGCTCTTCGATTTCAAAATTGTGGCCCAATGCTGCATTCAGCCTCGCAGTAGCTAGTGTCATTTCATACTGATGCTCAACTGCATTCTTCGTCGCTGCACGGAAGAACTTTGCTGTCCGATCGTTGGACTGGCCACTCACAGCATTGACAAGACTACTTTCCACGTCCTCTTTCGAAGTGAGGTTGATCGCACGACTGCGTCGGTATGTCCGTTGCCGTTCATCTTCACGTTTCTCATCCCGTGCGTTCTCAGAAGTTGGAGGTGATGCGTCGTCCAACAAAGTGCCAAGTTGGTGCCCAGCACCTGCAATTGTTCGTCTCGGCGGCGTCTTTTTCGTTCTACCAACCGACCGTTGCAGCGTTCGTACGCCACTAATCGGTGCTTTCTCGGCAGCCTTCTTCCTTGTAGATACACGCTTCTTTGTCGTCAAAATTCGTTTTGCTGCTGGTGCACAAGTGGCCACAGCACTGCACTTCGTGCCCACGACAATCGTGTCGTTGTTCCCAACAACGGTCTTCACGAGCGCTGAGCCGTCCACTTCGAGCACCCGAGGCGGAAATCCCCTTCGGACTGCAAAGGAACATTGCAAAGGATCCAATTAGCTGAAAAACAATAGACCACCCAAAGCTCGAGCTTGAGCACACGTACACGTCAGCTCATCCGTAGCGTTTAGCCCCAAAGTACTGGCAGCGAGATCTGGAAAAGCAGAACAATCCGATCGCTACCGATGAGAACGGTGCAAACACACACAGCCACACACACATACATATACATATGGATGGTACAAGGGCATACGTGTAGGCAACGTACCCACGAACGTCTTGAAAGGAGCCTCTGGGTCGATCTGCAGCACCACCTGCTTCCCTTGAGGTCCTCTCAGACGGACGCTCCACATGTTCCAAGATGTTGTATACTGTATACACGTTTGCTTCGCGTCTTTTTTGCACCTGATCGAAAGCTCGCGGAACGTTCGTTGTGGGACCCCGCAGGACATACCGGTTCGTGGCTAGCTGTCTTTTCGACCAATCACATTCGCGTACTGGTTGTGCACTAGACGTACCCATTGAGATCATTTTCCGATTGAACAATAAATGGCAGCTCAGAGCTGGCAAGAAGCGCTTGCGAGCGAAACGGACGCCGCCAAGAAGGAGTGGATGGCGCTCGAGCGTCGCTATCACTTGCAACGTGTAGATGAGGACGCTTCAAAGACCGGTGGAAAGTGCGTGCGTCTTTTCCTCAGTCTCTCAGCGCCCGAGCTGCCAACACGACTGAAGGGCCAAGTGGATCTGCAGCTGACGATGCCAGCAAACTACCCGATGGACGCAGTTCAAGTGGATTTTTCGCAGTGGAGCAGTCGGTTATCCGGAGATCAAGTAGATGCATTGAATGCTGCAGTGTATGCTCGGGCTCAGCAGCTGCGCGGTGGCTTTTCGATGAGGAAGCTGCTGACGTGGATGGACAACAACTTTTGGCCGGTCATTGCACCATATGAGAAGAACTCAGATGGGCTGCAAGACGTAGTGATAGCAGAAGCTGGTGATTCGAGCCGTGAGCTGGAGCCGATGGTGGCTGAAGCAACGGAGATAGCGCCGAGTGAGAAGAAAGCGAAAGGGAGACGAGGTTCGCGAGCCTGTCGCTTTTTTGCACGAGGCAAGTGCAGAGAAGGCGAGGCATGCAGATTCTCACACAAGAAACAGCAGAAACACGTGGATAAAGGTGCTGACGCGGCTGAAAACTTGTCGCATGATCAGGATGCTAGCCAAGCCTTGCCGAATGAAGTGCCAAAACAAGAGTCGGAACAAGCTAAGCCAACAAGAAGGGCTCGAGTGCGTCGGTGTAGGTATTTCGCTCAGAACGGATGCCGTGATGGAGAAAGCTGCAAGTTCGTTCATGAGACGAAAGGTGCTGAAACAGTGCATAGCGGTCGTACACAGAAGTTGAAAAGCCTGCCTCGGGCTTGTGTAGTTGCTCTGGACGAAGATGCCACCGTAGCAGAGGAAATGCACATAGACGAAGCAGTGGAAAACAACTCGATAGACCGCAACAAACAAAATGTCGAGGATTGTATCGAAAGCAGCAGCGCGTGGTCGGAAGCACAGCAGCGAGCACTTGATCTGGCTCTGAAGAAGTACCCGGCAGTTATGGACAAAAAAGAACGGTGGGTCAGCATAGCAAATGAGGTCGATGGTCGGTCTTTGAACGAATGCATTGACCGCTTTAAGGCACTATGCGAGCTTGTGCGCCGTGGTGTGGATCCCGTTGCCATTGCTGAAAAGGTGGACACCAGTGAGGAAAACACAGTGGAGTCAAGTGAAGACGAGAAGAATGCCCGGAACTCGAGGATCGTTCCAGCTGACAAACGTGTTTTGATCTCTACCGCACCTCAAGCGAGGGGCACGCGTATTTGCCTCGAAGATCTATTTCTGCACGAAGTCGGGACCCTCGTTGCACATGAACTGGTTTGTCAGATCCAGTGCGGGAACTGTCCGCTGAAGTTCGATGCAGTCTTACGCTTAGACGCTGCAGAAATCCAGAAGTGGTGTCCACGGTGCAGTGCGCTTCATCACGTGCTCATGAGGCCAGTGTTTGCACATTCGCTGAGTAACTTGCTGGCCTATGTAGACACAGAGAACTGCTACATTGTCGACGTTCTCCCTAGTGATGTGCTAGCCACTTGCTTGGAGTGTGGGTGTGAGGCGTTGCTGTCGAGAATAAGACCGCGACAGCGGTCCGAGCAAGCTTGTTTTTCCTGCCACGTCAAACTCGCTGTCATGACCAAACGCTTTGTTGCAGCGCAGATCGAAGAGACATCGGTGAAGCGAAGCAATGACGTTACCGTAACGATTGCGAAGGGCAAGAAGGGAGCCAGGCAAATTGCAGAAGCGTTTGTGCTGGGACAGCCGTTGCCTCGTAATGGAACGTGTGACCACTACAAGCACTCGCTGCGTTGGTTTCGATTTCAATGCTGTGGAAAAGCGTTCCCGTGTGACGTTTGCCACGACTCAAGTGACTGTCCGGAGGCCAATCTGGGAAAGTTTGCGAGTCGTATGATTTGCGGCTTGTGTTCAAAAGAGCAGTCGAGCTCTGTCAAGGTGTGCTCGTGCGGCAATGACGTGGCTAGTAAGAAGTCGACCTCTTGCCATTGGGAAGGCGGTGCTGGGTGTCGAGATGTCTTGAAAATGTCGCGCTGGGATCGGCAAAAGTACCGCGGTCAGAACAAGACAGAGAGCAGGAAGCTCAACCGCGTAGGTGCAGAAGCCAAGAGACGTCGAGAGGAGAATGTGTAGTGCTAATGCGCAGGCCAAGATGTGCTACATCACATGCATGGACATGGCAACGGAAGTGCACGGCAATAGCTGCAAGACGCATGACGGCAGACTCTCTGCATTTGTGCCTACTGTTTGTACTTGCGATGGTGCTGTCATCGCGATGACAAATAGCGGTGCCGGTGTTTCGACATGGACTGCCGAGCTGTGGCTACATCGACCGGCAAGAGTGGCGACTATGCTCAGGAGTCGACATTCTGCATGCAAAATTGCATTTGCACACGTCGGCAGCTAGGGAATGACCCGCAGCCGAACGGCGATGGATGTAGTGAAGCACTTTGAACCCAACGTAGACGTACTGCGCCATGGATCGATCGACCACCGACAGATGTTGAACATGGCTACACTTATGACAGTAAACTACCCATAAAGCAAATGGGTCAAATACTCTCGTCGAAACACATGCTCCGAAATCAACACGCCACGTGCACCGAAATTCACCAAATTGGGTCACAATGTCCCACTCGTTTTTGCGATACAAAAACTATCGATCCATTTTCCATGGCGAGTGCCCGCACGACAGCAGCGCTCTTGCGTGCGTACCGCGTCTCTTGCGGTCCGACTCAGCGGCTCTCGCTGTCTACCAAGGCAACTGAAGCAGCTGCTGCTGCTTTGCGCATGGTAAGATATCTGCACGCGTGCTAGAGAGTGCTTGAGCAATGGTGCAGCGTCTTACGTCTAACTCGTTATCTACTCTCTTTCACAGGGCTTCAAAAAGACAGAAGACGACACTACAGCGACTGAAGACGAGCGTGCGTTTCCGATCGATGATCGCATTGCAATCGATGGGCCAGAGGCGATGAAGAAGCAGCTCGTGCCGCCTGCGAGGAGCTCGTCTCAGCCGCTATGGCTCACGCAGGACCATCCTGTGACAGACCTGTCAGGCTTTGCGCCCAAAATAGTGGTGGTTGGTGTTGGGGGTGCTGGAGGCAACGCCGGTGAGTGGTTACAGTACTGATAGTGATACAAATGTCGAGGATTCATGATTGGTGCATGATGATGGGATTGCGTGGCAGTGAACAACATGATCGCGCGCGGTTTGCAGGGAGTCGAGTTCCTCGTGTGTAATACAGACGCGCAGCACTTGCGCACGACGCTGACTGAAAACCGCGTTCAAATGGCTCCTGAACTGACTGGAGGTCTTGGCTGTGGTGCGAACCCTGAAGTCGGGTGAGAGTTGCATGTCATGACCTCGCTCTGGGTAGTCTGAGAGAAAGAGAGAAAACTTGTCTTAGGTTGCTGTGACTGTTTTGATGACATGTTTTACTGTAGACGGGAGGCAGCGGAGGCTGCAATTGATGAGATACTGGAACGCACGCAGGGTGCAAACATGGTACGCTGCGCTGACAAACCTGTGCTGAAGCAAACAAACTGGACAATGCGCCGGTACTGAGATGATGGTCTTACGTTCGTATGCGTCTGCAGATGTTTGTCACTGCAGGCATGGGCGGTGGTACGGGGACTGGTGCTGCACCCGTTATTGCCCAGGCGGCCTTGGACGCCGGGATTCTTACGGTAGCCGTGGTCACAAAGGTATGCCTGACCCAGGGTACACTTGCTTGTTTGACGCTGTGCTTGGTGACCGACTCTTTTGACCTTTCGCTCGTAGCCGTTTCGCTTCGAAGGCAACAACCGTGCGAAACTTGCAGCGCAAGGTCTTGCTGAGTTGAAGGATAGCGTAGACACGATGCTTGTGATTCCGAACCAGAATCTGTTCAATATGTCAAACGAGCGCACGTCGTTGATGGATGCATTTCGGTACGTGACCCGAGTTGTTGTCTTTGGCCAAGAGTGGTAGAACAGCTCTGAGTGAGTGACATGTGCTGTGTAGAATGGCGGACAATGTGCTACTTGACGGCGTCAAGAACATCTCGGACCTGATGGTGATGCCAGGGCTTATCAATCTTGACTTTGCTGACGTTCAATCGGTACGTAGCTCAAGTGTTTGTTTATCGTGCTATCGTTATGACAATTTATCTGAGGCTGTGTTTCCTGATGGCTTTTTTTGCTATAGGTGATGCAAAACATGGGAAACGCCATGATGGGGAGTGGAGAGGCGAACGGAGACAACCGGTCTGCTTGCTATAGTTGCCAAGCTGCGTTGGCAAAACTAACGAATGGCCGGTTCGATTTGCTGCTTTTTTATGACAGGGCGTTGCGTGCTGCCGATGACGCGCTGGCGAATCCTCTTCTGGGCGATATCTCAATCAAGGTAGTCGCTCCTTGTAGTGTATGATGCAACTCGAGCTGCAGTGCTTAACGCTCTGCTGTTTCTCGCGACTGGCAGGATGCCAAGGGCATGATTGTGAACATCACTGGAGGCTCTGACCTGACGTTATTTGAAGTTGACGAAGCTGCAGAACGCGTGACACGAGAGCTCGACGATCCACACGCCAACATTATCTTCGGCTCGACGTTTGACGACTCGCTGGACGGTAAAGTGCGCGTTTCCGTAGTTGCCACCGGCATCGCTGATCCCGAAAAGTATTAAAGGTCTCGGAGTGCTGGAAAGCTCCAAGCGTCTGTGCTCTGGAAATGAAATGCAGCAACTCGGTTCGTGTGCTGCTTCCAGCAGCTATGTTCAGTCGTGCAGGATACGATCATCTCACTGTTCGTTTCTTGCGGTGGTATGATGACATATGCACGCATTCATTATAAGTTTGCACAACGCCGGCGGTCCCGGCTAGCAGCTACCCTTCGAGATGGGGGAAAGACATGGCCTATCCAGCACAGTGTTAAAACGCGTACTCCTTCTCGTCGATCGAGAGAAAATTGGCTTGCTGTGAAAGCCGCTCGGGTGGCAACGAAGAGAGGGCCTCTTCCAGATGGTATGCCGCCCACATCGTCGTGAGTCGAACCACAACTTCTTCACATGTCGCACGAGCTCCATCAGGCAGCACCACTTGCTTCATGGCATCTTCGAGAGGAACCCCCTCGTCGTAGCACCGTTGGTCGTCGTACTTCCTGCCATCGCCATCTTCATCGCTGTCTGAGTAATCCATGATGGGGTCTTCCGACTCGTTTGGCTGGGTGGATGCACCGTCCGATGCAGTGCTGAGCTTGACCTTACTGCGCGAAAAGATGGACTTCCCGCGTGAGCTCTGGCTATGTGTGAAAATCGGCTTGCTGGACGACTTACTGGCGCTAAAGAGTTCCCTGCCAGCAATCGGGAGCAAAGGGGGCGTTGTCGGGTCTGGCACAGGCACCACTGGCTGGTCCACCACAGCATACGAGTCGAGCGACAGTGACTTGTTGATCTTGGAGAGGATGGAGCCATTGATCGGCTGTGCTCCTCGAATGAGGAACGGCCGCATCATCTTTTGGATCTCGTGGCCGCAACTGCTGCACTTGGGCGCGTCGTTGTACACGCGTCCGACGAGCAACTTGAGGAAGTCCTGCAACGACGAGACCCGATGGCGGACGACGGAATTGGTCCGCAAGAGCGACTTGCTGGGAAAGCGAAAGCGGCTGACCGCTCGACTGAAGCTCGCACAGTTTGCGCACGACGCACAGGGCGTGGCCAGCGTGTGCTGAATGTCCTTCCGCAGCTGCAGAAACTGCGAGTAGCGGCGATTGACGGTCCACTCCTGATTCGTCGGCTGCACCAACATGCAGATGCTGTAGAGCGTGTGCGTCGGTCGGTTCAGCGCCGCGGGAATAAACACTTGCACTCCTGTCTGGCAGCTGTTCGTCATGGTGGCGAGCGCAGCTTCGAGGCCCCGTTTCGATCCGTTGAGGCAGCAAAGTACACGGAGCAACGACAGCAAGAGAGGGCGCGTGTGAACACCGATCGATCGGTCGACCACTCTATCGAGCGCGTGCAGGTGGCTGAGGCTGAGGCTGGGGTGTACGTGTACGTGTGTATGTGTACAACTGACAGTGTCTGTCTGTCTATCTGTCTGTCTATCTGTCTATCTGTCTATCCGGCTGTCTGTCTGTACGCCGTCTCTGGGGAGCGTGGCGTGAGATGGGAGTGGCTGGAAACAATACCGACACTGAGGTACGCCCCGGCGGGCGAGTGGAAGGCGCTGACCGAGTGACGGACGGACTAACCACTCGCCTTGCGATCGGCGAGCCGGTCCTTTTTCTGCGTCGCCACAACAGCAAACGTCGAGCTACACACGCAGCGTTACTTCAGGTCTCGAGCGCCCGTCTGACGTCGGGACCCGCACGCCACGCAGGCCATTGTGCTGAACACCTCGACGGTCCGTCCGTCCGTCCATCGGTCCATCGGTCCATCGGTCGGTCGGTCGGTCGTTCTCTTATGGCGCCTGTGGCCAGAGACGACGACGCGTTGACACATCACGAGAGGCAGAGCGGTTTGTGTTTATGGCGACTGATAGTGCCAGTGGTCCAACCGACCGACCGACCGACCGACTGGCTGACTGACTGACTGACCGTAGGTGCGCGGGTGCATGTGTGTATACGTGTGTACAATGTGGAGATGGGCGTGGGTTGCCAACACCTCGTCGTTTGGTGCGCTGTAATTTAATGTATCAGATACCACTATGCAGTCGGTCGCTGGTGCGATGTAATTTAATGTATCAGATACCACTGTGCGGTCGGTCCGTCGTCGGTCGCGTAGTTTGACGTTGAGGCATACGTAATGGTGGGCAGATGGATGTACACGACGCGAAACGGCACCGACGCGAGCAGACGGACTCGCACACAACTGGCTGCAGTCGAAACGACAACCAGATGGTCGAAGGCCTGATCGAGCAGCGCACGTTGACGGAGACAAGCGCTCGAGCGAGAGAGCGAGTGGGCGAGCCGGATGCAGACGAAAAAACAGCTGCCGACGCTACGCACGCATTCGTCAGCGCATGTCTCATGCGGTCGCCGCGCATAGGGAATCACCGCGCACGATTGATCTTTTCGCGAGTGCAGCCCCTTCAACGAATCGCAACGCCACGTGCGGGTTACTGCTGCGTCGACTAAAGGCATTGGCGGATTGAGATGCGCGCTGAGCAGCAACTGCTACTACTTCTGCTGCTGCTACTGCTGCTGCTGCTGGAAGTGAGCGTTTCGTCACGAAGCGTTGCAGCGACCGACTGACGGTAGCGCTTCGTGTGTCCGCATGGAACGTCGTCCGCCGTTGTCGCGCCCGTGTCGATCTTTTTCCATCCGTCATGTCACTGGCCGGACACCAGCGTCACAATGACCACATAATCGTTACGCAAGTCACGGTCGAAACTGAAGAACGCGTGTAAAAAGATGGGGACGGCGTCGGAAAATGTCGTGCGTCGACCTGTATCAATGTGTACCACGCTATACAAACGCAGCTCCTGACGATACCAGTACACGAAGGGTTTCCGTCGGTATGCCGTATCACAAGCTCATGCCATTCGATAGGACGACGGTATTGCGACCATCAAGCACCACAGCACGTCGCGCACAAATCATCGCCACGGAACACCCGCGGCTGGCGACGCCGTCTCGAGCGTCTACAGCATGGTCTCTGCACTAGTGTGGCTCGCTGCCGCACTCGTGGTGACCGCCACACAGGCCTACACAATCACGGTGCTCTTCTTGCGCCTGTTGCTGCACACGTACTTCCGCAAGATCGTTCTCTATGGCGTCGATAACTTTCCCCGTAAAGGACCTGTGATTCTGTGTTCCAACCACCCAAATATGCTCGTGGACGCCGTGCTCGTGATGACGGAAGTGGTGCGGATTGGTCGTAGTCCCTACGTCTGGGCCAAGGGATCGCTCTTTAGCCATCCCATTGCTGCGTTCGTTCTCAGGAAATTTGGAGCTGTTCCAGTGTATCGCCCACGACGGTCCGAGGCAACGCTGGCTGACGTGGACTCGGACAAGAGCCCTGAGGAACTCGAAGCGGCCAATCGCGCCATGTTTGAGCACACGTGGCACGTGCTTGCAGGCGGCAATGTCATGGTACTCTTCCCCGAAGGAACGTCGTACACTGCACCCAAGATGTTGTCACTACGCACTGGGGTCATGCGTGTGGCTACGGGCTTTGCCAAGCACTATGATCAGTCGATTCCAATTGTTCCTCTCGGACTCAATTACTTCAACAAGGACCGCTTTCGGAGCCAGATGACGCTGGACTTTGGCCCGTGCATGACGATCACGCCTGCTATGGTGCACAGCGACGAATTCCAGCAAAATGAACACAGTGAAGTGAAGCGCTTGACGCTCGAGCTGGAAAAGCGCATGCACGGTCTGACGCTGAATGCGTCCGGGTTTAGTACGATCGACGCAGCTCGGATGATGCGGCGTTTGTACCTGAATGTGCCTGGTTCCATTGACGCAAACAAAGAAGTTCGCCTGACGCAGTGTATAATCAACATGCTGGAGGAAGAGCCACAGGACGACGAACAGAAGGAGCGGATGGGAACGATTCAAGCAAAGGTGTTACGATACAAAGAGCAGTTGGATAAGTTACGACTGAAAGATCAAGAGGTGAATCTAGCAGTTCCGAAGGACCAATCGCTCGTACGACTTTTTGTGGAGCGTACCATGTATCTTCTCGTGCTGCTACCACTGGCGACGCCCGGTCTTTTGCTGAACTTCCCCTATTACTTTATCGGTAAGTCGTGCTTTTCGCACGTGAGTGGGGCTTGTCTGACGAACAGGTGTTTGCTGGTGGAATGTCGTTTCTTGCTGATCACTAGGGATGAAGATCAACAGTTATGCGGGATTCGTAGAATCCAAATCGATGCTCAAGATCTTTGCTGCCGGGTGCGTTGACTACGACTTTGCTTTCCCTCTCTAATGACTTACATTCATGTGCTGCTTTGCCATGCTGCAGCGTTTTAGTGCCGCTGCATTGGCTCGTACTAATTGTTGCAACCTGGTACATCTTCGGAGCTTCCTATGCATTCACGTTGGCGGTGGGGTTACCGCTGCTACTGCACTCGCACATTCGCGTGCTGGAAGAAGGCCGTTCCGTTGTCGAGACCATCTACTTCCTCTACAACATTACGGCACACGCTGACCAGGTCGCGGTGCTTCGAAAGGAACGAGAGGAGCTTGCGAAAGAAGTGCACGAGCTAGTGACCACTTACGTGGATGCCGACTTCCTATCAGCCGTACACAAGTCCCTCGCTAGCTCGCCCGCGGATCGACGGCTACGTCGTCGTGCATCATCTACCAGCGACACTCTTCTTGCGAGATGACGGTATCCGAGAGGTTGTGCTGCGACATGCGATTGTCGCATGACCTAGAAACGTGTACAACTGCATTGCGCGTTGGCAAGAAATGCCGTGTCAGGATATGGCTGCGACGGCTTTGCTCAAGTAAGTTTCCGTTTCGTGGCTACCTCCACAGCCGGTGTCCGCTGCCTGCTTTGAGTTGACCATCTAGACGACCCGTTTGATTGTTTCGGGACTTGAAAATAGCAGACATGTCCGTATCCACCGCCTTATCCGACACGACTTTACCTCCATTCAGGTCTGATTGGCAAGCCTTTGCCGCTCTTCGGACACTTGGCGAGCCCATCGACTACTGCGATTTATGAAGCTCGAGTCCAACATCATACCGCATCTTTTCCTTGTCTTTCAGCTCATCTGCAGCACGAAGAACCACGTACTTTTCGGTTAGCGTAGCACCTCAACATGACATACCACGACACGTTGCGTACTCTGCTTGATCTGGACAATCGCATCTCTGTGTTCCAGGAAGAAAACGTTGGCGCGTTTGAGGTAAGTCGTCTACGTATACAGACAACAGCCGTCCTCTGTCATCAATTGTTCCAATACACCGCACAGGTATCTGGAATACATCCGCCGCACCCTTTGCGGCTTGTTCCCCATCGTGCCCAGTTCACTCAGTGTGACCTGCAGCTGCTGGATCTACACGACATGCAACAACAAGAACAGGGTCACCATCGCTCGCAGCAACAAACCTCAATCAGCTATCGAGCTTGGACGTAGTATGTAGACGACTGACCTCTTTGTCCAGCTTTGGACCGAGTCGCTGTGCTTTCCACTGTTCCGTCATTCCCACGTCGTTGGGGTCGACCCGATACTATGTGGCACAAACGACGTATTTGACCGTTGTGTTCGTACAGATGCGCTGACTAAATCTAGAAAGTAGGCGCTCTACATCGTGTGCGGCTTTCCAAATCATCAGACGCAAAGACAACACCAAAAATGAACGAGGAAGACGAGTTCGGCATGAGCAAACTGGTGCGGGACGCGGACCCGATGGAGCAGGACGTCCAGAGCGCGGTCAGGGACCATCAGGACTTTACGTTCCTCGACGTCGAAGCGATTCGCGCTGCTGCTGCGCTCGAGGACAAGGGCGCGATGCCGCTGTGGCTGACCCGCTTGCCAGTGGAGAAGGACCCGAGGCAGTGGACGATTCTGGAAGTGCATATTCGTCCCGACCGGTCCTGGGACATCATCAAAGAGCTACTGGCAACTGTCTGCATTAGCAAAGGACTGTTGATTGCTGAAGAAGACGCTGAGTCGGTGCTGTTCCGCAAAAAAGTGATGCAAGAATCGATGGCCCGTGGCATGGCGAATATGGCTACATTCCTCAACGTCTACGTGCGCATTGGCATTTCGTCGTCGAAGCTGCGGGTGATTGATATTTGCACGTCGGTCGTGAACGAGAACAAGCTGCTGGGTGGCATGATGCCAACGGGACGGAGCAGCTTGTGGACGGCTTCCAATGATTCGCACAAGTACGCTCTCGACCAATTGCTGGGAGCTTTTCAGTCGACACTGCTTAGTCAGTGTCTATCGATGAGTCATCTGTACATGTCTACTTCGGAGAACTCCATGGACTCAGGTACTGTATGTCGTCGTTGCTGCTGCTGAGATGGAGCCAGTGACGAAGGAATGCTTCTGTTACTCATGTTTTGGCTGGCTGGATACTTTTTGGCAGTTCAAACTGCTGAGCTGGATGAAGGATATGTTGAGAACTTGAAAAAAGCGTTCAGCAGGTGCGTCTTGTGCACGTGGTATACGCCAGGGCACGGCGAGCTCGCTGACGTGCTTTGTCTTTTGCAGTGAAATGAAGACCAATATGAGAGATCTGTGCATCCCCCTGGAATCTTATGCATACGACCAAGAGCTTGCCTGCGCTCAGCTAATCGGTTTGCTTGAACCGAGTCTGAAGAAGTGCGCGATCAGGCTTGTAGGCACGACTGCAAATGACGCGTGCTCGAAGGAGAGCGTAATCGTTGCCGGAACACAACAAATGTCAATGAAGGAGAACGATTCAGCTTCGAAACAAGGCCTGGCGTCTTTGCCGCATGTGACTAAAACTGCAGATATCTCCTCGTCGACGCACCAGGCAACATCAGTGAAACGTGAGAAAACCTACGGCGAAGTGATTTCCGAAATGGTCCAAAAGCTGCGATGTGCATGCAAGGAAGACTGTGAGATACGACTACGTGCGAAAATTGAAGAAAAGCGGCAACAGGTTACAGCACGCGTGGAAGCTGCGCAAAGTTTGCGCGTTCGTGCGATCCGGGCAATCATGGACGCGTACGTTTGTCGGCTTACAAGATACTTGATATACAACTGATGTTGCTGAATGTGGCAGGAAAGATGCACAAGTCTCATGCCTCAATGAACATGGCGACGACAGCCGGTACGTTGTTCGTGACACCTTTTCACATATACGCTGAACGGGCAGTGGATAACCGTGGATATGGCGGCATCTTTCGATCATCAGCAGGAATAACGTGCTCCTCTACGAGACCTCTTGCATGGTAAACGGCATTCCAGTCACCCTCCACGTCACTTATGGGTAAGAAGAACGAACTCGCGTTGTTTGTGCCCCGCAAAGCTGACTTTTTCGCATTGTTCGTCTCTGATTCGTCGTGGTAATGAATGGTAGCAACTTGATCTATCGGATCATGGTGCCCGTGTTCGCGCACACGGTGGTCATCCCTTTTGACGATGTACGAAACGTCGTTGAAACTGCGCCGTTTGGTATCCAGGCAGTGTCGCTAGAGCTGGACTCGACAAAGCACGCGAAAGGGATTACGATTGCCACGGGACTCGAGGCGGATTCGTTGTACCAGCTCCTGCACGAGGTGCGTCCCATTGCTATTGCTGCGTGTGATCAACTGCATCTTCTCACATGCCACATCGTCTAGCTCGTTTCAATGCACCAACGTGAGACCGAGGCAAGTACTGCTGCTTTGCCGCTACTGCAGCAACGAGAACTGGAGCAGGACCCGAGCGTGCTCCAAATGATCTTGGGCTCGGGCGAAGAGGAGACGAAAGAGGACGAGGCGACAACGACTGCAGCAGTCGAGCCTAGGACATCCGCGAGTGCTGATGATGGATGCGGCGCAACCCGTGCCACGAAGTAAGCGTTGCGAATCCAACACGTACACGTCGATAGCTGCAACAACACGGCCTTGAGCCATGTGATGGATACCAAGTACGCGCAGCGAATCAACTTCAGGACGTCTGCATGGCTCATCTGCTGGTCTCTTCACGGTATGGCTCTCTCCCGGCCAACACAGCAGCCGTCGCCCGCGTGTTACAACAACGATCCACGTTGCTCCAGTTCCCAGCACATCGGAGGCGCCGACGGTTCATACTCGCGAGCGAGAGAGTGGTGCACGATCACTGGCAACTTGTTCCGGGTGAGCTCTCCCAGCAGTGGCTCCTCCATGTCGCCTCGCACGGCCATCGCGCTCATCATTTGGTTCTCCTGTCGTCGGTTGCGACACTCGCAGCAGCGACAGTAGTAGATGCAGCAAAGGGACGCAATGCTCACGAAGACAGCGATGACGCACAAGAGCGTTGTGTCGGTCCACTGCATCTGCTGCGCTGTCGGTCGTAGCGAGAAGGCCGACGACGCGTCCGACTTGTTGGCCAAATCCATCTTGAAGGTGACGAGGGATTCTTCGTGTTCCTGTGTGACTGAGTCCGTCAAAGAGTGGTAGAAATGAGGGGTGGATGTCCTCGTGATTGGTGCGAATAACGTCGAATCGAATCCATAGGTTCGTGCCTGCTTTTTTTAAAACGCTCTGACGACGGTCGCTTTTTGTAGGGTGACATTCCTACCCGGTTTTGTTTCTTACAAATGTGGTTTTGACAACATCGATCGATCGCGTCAATGCTGCTGCTGTATCGGCGAGAAAACGGATATAAAAAACTTCGTCTTGGCGCCATCCACCCAGATAGTGTGTGCTATGTAGCATCTCTTAAAGCCGCTCACTCACCCGTGGTCAATTTGCATCATGTACCGCAGTTTGCAGACGAATTGAAGATCGATGTATCGCGTCCAAACGCATTTCAGAAGCCACATTTTCTCCGCTCTGCAAAACGCATCGATCGTAGTTGGGTCGCCCACTTCAACGATTGATTATGCTTTCGTCAGTAAGGAAGAGGAAGTTTATGAAGACCGTGTTGCTGTGTAGTAGCACACTGCACGACTAGACCAAGTGGCTGGCCAAACGAAGGTGTCGATACAAATCTTACGCCGATAACCGAGCACCGACAGCAGTGGCTGGATACCACATGCAACATTGTTTTATACATTTGCTCGTGTCTCCCGTCTTTGCTCGTGGTGCTGCTGTTTCCAAATTAGCCAATCAAAACCACTGCAGAGAAGACGTGCTGTCTGTCGTTTGTGAACTCGAGCCAAAGCCCCAAATTTGGTCCCGACTTCACAAATGTTCGCAGGCGTCGACATTGGCGGACTAAGTGTCAAAGTGGGCCTCGTGGCCGCCAATGGGTCCGTCGTCGCGCGCCGCCAGCAGAAGTACGAGTCGACCCGACCCAACCCGCAGGACGTCGTGGATCTCGCGGTCGCTCTGCTGCACAAAGTGCTCGAGACGGTGAGCGCTGCCGCCTGTTTTCTTGCTGCGTACCAAACCAAACCAAACCGCTATGGGGTGAAAAACGGTTTACCAGACACTTTCTGATCCAGCGTCGTGCGGCTAATGTGGACAGAATTGTGTACCTTTACAAGACGTCGAGGCCGTTGGTGTGGGCTGCCCTGGCGTGCTGAGGGCGGAAGGGGTTATCCGTGCAGCTGCCAACTTCCCGTCCTGGTCGGATGTCCCGCTGCAGCAATTGTTTACCGAAACACTTGGGACACCGGTGCGTGGGTGGTACAGTCACGTGGAAACGCGAGGAAGTGGGTGCCCAGGGTGGAGCTGAAGGAGACAGTCGTGTGGTGTCGGTGTGGGTGGTGAAAGGTCACGGTCTGCAACGACGCGGACGCCGCGATTCTGGCGGAACAGTGGGTCGGTGCGGCCAAGGGCGGGATCAAGAACTTTATCATGCTTAGTACGATTCCTGCCGCTCCAGTGACCTAGTACCGGTGGTTGAAAAACGGACTGTTGACGAGAGTTGTTGTGGCCTGATTGTGAAACGCGGTGCAGCGCTTGGTACGGGTGTTGGCTTTGGTGTCGTCGCGAACGGTCAACTGGTACGAGGTGGCAGCAATGCCATTGAAGGGGGACACATGGTATCGACGTGCTTGTTTTGCTTCCTTCGAGCGAACGGCAACACAGCTAACCAATTGGTACCGTTCTGCATGTAGATCGTCGAACGCAATGGAAGACGGTGTGGGTGCTCTCAGCGTGGATGCCTCGAAGCCTACAGCTCGGCAAGTGCTTTGATATCGCAAGTCCAAGAACACTTGCGTGCCGGTTCGTCCATTTTATGACTTGCTCGTCAGGGCCAGCCGTTTTCACATATGGTGTATACTATCCTTGTTGTACACAGGTAGAGTCTCGAGTCTGTCAAGGTATCCTGAAGAAGATATACACGCTGAACTCGTGTTTCTACATGCCGCCCAAGGCGACGAAATGTGCAAGCATCTCATCGATGAAGTATGTGTGCACGTTCTAAGCGAGCAAGACTTTTGGGCCAACCGTTGTTTGATGTGGTCCGAATCAGGCTGCAGACTATTTGGGTTTTGCCTGCGTTACGTTCTGTCGAATGCTCGATCCGGAGGTAATGTATATTGTCGCGGCCTGGATGCTGACTTTGTGTGGTGTACTGATTGGGCTCCCACGACTCGGTCTCCGGGTGAAGGTCATCGTGCTGTCTGGAGGAATCGCCGAAGCCGGTGAAACCTACATCAATCAGATTCGTCAGGCTTATGCGGGGCACAGCTGGACAAAGTTCGCGAATCCCGTACGCCTGACTTGCACTTCGTGTTGATCACTTCAGTCCATTTCACATTTCGTCCCTATGCGGTTGTGCTGCTACTAGGTTAGGATCGAGAAGGCGAGCGCAGGGTATGACTCTGGCATCATAGGTGCTGTCGCAGTTTGCAGGAACCAACGCATAGGGTGAGGTTCCTGACTAGTGTCACGCGTGAAGTCATGGACTTGCTACGCATGCAGGTGGCTGAGTAAACGGCCATGTTGTAATTTGTTCACATTTCATCAGTCAAAACGCGCATGTCTTGCGTCTCGGAACAAAGGCCAGGTGCAACGTGATGGCCATCTTGGCGAAGTGACACCATCTTATCAAGCTATTCGCTGTCGCTATCGCTGATCACGGGGCTAGCACCACCGCCGGTGCGCGGATCGGGACTACCGCCGTCACCGTTCCTGCCAGCAGGGCTGCTTGACTTTTTGATCGGGCTTCCAGGTGGTGTACGAGTTTCCGTATCTTCGTCGTCGGACGGGGGCGGCGTATCTTTATCTCCGGTTCGTTGGCGCTTGTGCTCGCGCACACTTTCCTCGTCATCAAGCTGATCATCGTAGACGCCTCCGCAGCGGAAGAGGATCTGGGCACGACGATCGTTTTCAGCTTCAGAGTAATCCCGGCGGTATACAACAACTCCGTCGCGGCGCTTTTCCTCGCCACTCATCTGCATGCACGAAAAAAGCGTTCTGTCAAATTGACAGCGTACACGAGTTGCGATGGTAGTAGCAGCTGCGCGTACCTTTGTTTTCCGCAGCTGGATGCGGTTCAAAACATCACTGTATGTAAACTGATCAGACTCGGGGTCCAGCACGAAAACAACATGCTGCGTCTCTCGCTAAACGACGGTGTCGGCACGCAAAAAAGGCAGCAGTGAGAACGATCACCGCACACACAGTCAGCAGCAAAACCTACGTACGCTATCGAGCGATTCCACAGACATGAGATACTCTCGAAGATACGAAAACTTGTCGCGATCGCTGCTATCCTGTATTTGCGGCATGGCACAAACGTTGTCAGTTTTCACCATATGGTCCGTCGCTACGGCAAAACTTTACCTCCTCTTCTGCAGATGCGTTGGGCAACAAGATAGAGCCCTGGATGAGCTCATTGCCAGCTTGGATTTTCTTGTTCACACCGCAAAGCAACGCGCGTTCTTCGCGACTTGTTATCCCCTTGTTCTTGAAGTCTTCAGAAGGCAGCATATCGTAGGACTGCGGACAACAACCAATCCACAACAGCCGATCAATTTCGGCTACAGCCTAACACAAAGATCAACGCACGCATCTCTGAGACGTACCAGAATGGCGTACTTGTTGGCAGACAAGAGCTGATCCGGAAAGACGTCCCACACCTTTGCGACTTTTTTCTTCGAGTCGTGCGGGTGCACCAGCAACCCCGGATCATTAATGTCGCGGAAAGAAGCTTCGGCACGGTCCTCCAGTGAGACCGAAACCACCTCGGCCAATGCGTTTTCCGTGCCTTCGCGTAGTGCATTCTGGATTTCTGCTTCACTTTTGAACTTGTGCACCGAGTCGTACAGGTCGTTGCCCATATACTCCGTGCGTCGCAGCCAAGACACGCTCGGACGCACTTTCGACCGGCCCTTGCTGCCGACATGGTCTTCCCTCATCATCAACGCCTGCTCATCACCAACTTCAAGCGGCTCGGGTTCCGCCGGAGCTACAAAGCAAGACAGTGTAACACAACACAAGTACTCCCTGACCTCAGTCCACTAGCCCATGCTCCACGCTATACCAGCCACTAGTCCCCACCTTCATACTTGGCGGGATCAATGAGGTCAATCGTCAGCCCCAAATTCGACTCTTCATGGATCTCGTACGTATAGTCCATCTCCAGCGTATTCGGCTTGTACTTGATGAGTCTATCAAGCACACAGGGCCCCACATGGCCCACAACGCTTAGTCAGTCGCCTTATCACTTGTCGACACATATCATCCTATGCACTATTGTATACACATGCTGTACGCAACATGTGCATACACAGCGATACTGCGCACCGCACCGTTCCGACTCGTGTGGGTACTTGACAAACTTCGTGTCAAAGGGAATGTCCGGCAGCGTATTGCGAAACTCGAGCGTCGCGAGGAACTCCGACTGTTTGCCCAACAGCGCACGACGTTTCGCCTGCGCGTGGCTCTCCAAGATCATGCGCGTGTGGTCTCGACGCGCCTTGAGTTTGTCCTCCTTGTACTTGGCGACCTTCTTCCGCTCGAGCTCGTAGCGCGCGCGCTCTTCGGACGAACCGCTGGATCCAGCAGCAGGCGCACGTCTTCGCGCCGCTTCTCCATGCTCCACACTGCGTCGCCGGCTGCTGCTGTGGCGCGCAGCCGCGGCCGCCGCCGCGTCCTTCCCGCCGGTCGCTGCCGATGTGTCCATTGTGTTTTGTTGGTCGCTTGTGGACCGAATATCGGGTTCCAGAGGTCCGTACCATCAACGAATAGTGTGGTGCACACACATACACACAACCTGTCTGCGTCCTAATCGTGCGTGCGTGTGTAAATGTCGTGTGGCGCGCCTCTATTTTTGCGCGCGTCGCCTCTTTATTTTACTTACCGGTCTTTTTCCACGACCGTTCGCGTGTAGCAGCTGATGATAATGGCCGACATCGCGTGGCGGCGGCGGCGGTGTTGGGTGGGCGCTGTCCATTGCCGATACGTATTGAGAGCGCGCACGCGATGCACGTCGTGAAGCAGCTGCTGTTCTACGTCGCACAGCGTCCGCTGGCACTCGCGCCGCTCGTGCTCGTGCTCAGTGTCTTCTACGGGTTTGCCCGCGTCTTGACGCTCCAGTACGTCGTCGGCGCTCTGCAGGACGCCGCGTCTCGGCGCTGGTCAACGCCTATTCCGCGCACGTTCGTTTCTGCGGTCTGTGTTGCTGCAGTCTCTGCGGTCGTCTGCACCGGTCTTGGCCACGAAACTGTACTATGGAGAGGGATGTCGACGCCGTATTGGACACACGTCTTGTGGCTGCCCCTGACGCTGCACAGGGGCAAGTGGAGTCGACTCGTTGGGGCTCCACTGCTCGCGTTTGCAGTGGCAGTGATTGAGGCGGTGCTAGTGCAGCTGGAACATGGGGTCGGGGGGGAACTGGTGGCGCCGTTGAGCAGCTGGAGCGTGTTGTCTGTACCCATGTTGTCGGGGCCCGAGAGGGGTGCACCGAGGGCAAATGCTGACAGCGTGCACTCGATTGATCAAGCAGGCGGAGCGTGGAACGAACGAGCAGCCAGTACTGCAGCAGCAGACAGGGATCGGGTGGGGACGCTTGTGTACGCTCGGATGGCGGGTGACCTTGTGCTGGCCGCAGTCGTGTGTGCGGGCTTTGCGTTGGCTCGCTTTTTCCACGAACCGCAATATGGTACGTCGGGCTGTTTGTTAGCAAAAAAGTGTGTCATCGTTTCACTGCCGGGTACTTACTGCCGCACGTTCGTCCTCCCTCCTGTTGTGTGGTGTCTTGTCCTTTTGGGAGATGGTGACAAGTTACGTGAAGCTGCGAGTCATTGCGACATCTTGGGCGTGAAGCTACTCCTTGCTCGAGGAATGAACCCTGACGCGTGCTCTAACGATGGCACGACGGCGCTGCACGTTTGTGCACAGCAAGCTGTTGACAGGGTAGCCCGAGTGCTTCTCGACCATGGAGCAAATGCGAATATCAGCGATCGACTTGGGCTCACGCCGTTGCACTGGGCGGTGCAGGTGCGACGAGAAGAAGTGTCGACCACGAGTCGATTGACGACGATCCGACTACTGTTGCGCCACGGTGCGAACCCGCACAAGCCCGACGCCAGCGGCACATCATCGCTTTGCCTAGCATCACGCGACGAAAACCAAGCGTCGCTGGACGTGTTGAACGAGTTCTTGCCTGCAGAGGATGCTGTCGGGGAGGCAGATACCACTGAAGCGATAGGCGAAGCGGAAAGTTAAATCGGCGATTCTGCGTTTTGATCAGTACATTACCGCTCATCGACTACTGAACCCTGTGATGTCCATTTCTATGACCTGTGGTGCAACAACGGCAACGAGCATTGTGTTAGCTCGACAGCTGACACAAGAAATGCTAGGTATGCAAACATCACGTATACCATGGACAAACTCTGCTCAAGGTCTGCTTTGGAAGGATAAAGCGGCAAATCAAGTCTACAAGAAAACAAATGACAGCAGTCAGCAACGTTCATACAAGTGTGACCGAGACTGCGCTTACCTATTCAAGCAAGTGCTAGCATGCGGTAGTACCGTGTACATGGTCGAAACGTCATTGCCAAGCTGGATTGTAAACAAACGGATTTCACCGTCCATGCCAGTAAGACCCTGCGCGCATAACATAGCGTGAGAAGTAGAATGCCACCATTGCTTGTCATTACGAAAAAGCACGCGTACCCGAAACCCCTCAACAGGAACACCGCTGGAGCCGGTAACATATTGCAACAGGCGCCCTCGTTGGTCTTGCGTAAAGGACTCCAAGATCTCCCAGAACCAGTCGATCAACGAAAACTCATGGCTGCTGTGCTCATAAAAGCGAGTTTCTGTGTGCCGTCTCCAGTCGTTGACATCGATCTGTGGTAGCCCTGAGAGCAGTAAATCGAGCTCTTTGAAGTCGAATACGTGGAGCATCGTGTCGCTGATGACACTGCGAAGGCCCTCCATGATCTTTGACATTTCCACTCGAACACTGTCAAATAAATAGTACTGCACCACTTTCGCAACGTAGAGCTGCTTATTTCCATCATGCAAGGATACGTCAGTGCCGTTTGGAATGAGTTCAGTACCCTGTATCGTGAAGTTTAAGCTCAATGCAGCGGTGTCGTCGTTTTCGAGAATCCACATCATGCTGGAATGCACCGTTTCGTCAAGTAGGTACAAGTCCGATAGCTTGACCGGCACACCGAGAATGTGCTTTAACAACGGAATCGAGAGCCGAACGTTCAGTAGTAGACCTTCCAGAAGGATTTTTCCCAGCAACTTGCCAACGAAAACATACGTCTGGTGCAAAACACAGCACACTTAGAGGTCAGAGGGCCAACTATCCAGATCGAAGCCTGCAGCCACATGAGAAGCATACCTGCAACTGCTCGGCAGTCTTTTCTGTCGCCGTTCGATTGATCCAGTACCCTTGATGTGCTGCCGAACTAGTTAGTGCGAACAGTCCGGAATCTCCCCTAAATAGCTCACTACATACTAAATGCAGCCATTCCCGCAAAATGCCCCCACCGTCAACACCGACTTCATTTACAAAATCAACCCGAAAACGACGATGAAGAGTTGCGCGAGGCGCTGCCAAAAAGAGGTCAACCGATTCCTTCAGCACTTTATCGCGCTCAACGCCTGCGCAGCCACGACATAGTTCAGACACGACTGAGGCAAGAAACAGGCAAGGCATACAGAGCAGACTGTGCACGTACGAATGGTGTGGAAGCCATCTACAAGCGAATGCGACAACTTAAGCGAGTATCCGTAAAACCACTGCGCTTTTTCAGCAAACGTCAAGGTCGCAACGCGCTAGAATGGCAAACGATAGCAAACACCATTCGCGTCGGTGAGCGAGAGCCAGCACAATTGAAGCCAGCGCATTATCTATACCTCGACTTACCATCATTGACCTAGAGTATGGACGCGAGGACATGGAGACATTCTCGGCAAAGCACCAGTGTACCGCACTGCTTTTCGTCTGCGACTCATCGCGTACAAACGCAGCTCTGGGGCTCAAGCAAGAAACTTGCGGCCCGCTGCTATCTGCAAAACTGTCAAAAGACAGAGGTGTACCGGATGGCTTACGCGCTTGCTGTGGGTGACGTTTTTGCCATACCTCGACATCGCGTGTTCTTACGATAGTGCTGTGTAACGTCTCATTCTTCCGGAGCGATTCGAACGGGATGTACACCTTTGCAACAAAATGAGCACGTCAGCGTACAATACATCTCGAGCTCAAAATGCAGTAAGCGTACCCAGCGAACGTAATGCTTTCCGACACAGCGTTTCCACTGGTGACGCTCACGCGCAACCAACTGGCGGTCAGTTGCATCGCGACTAAGAAGGGCTTCTGGACCCTGAGCCCAAGCGGAGCGAGGTGAAGTCATGGGTAAGTAGCCGGAAACGGAGCGTGCACTGGCTTCACTTTGCGAGGTAGCCACTGGTGCGCTTGTGCTATTGCTCTGGCGTTGGCTTGACGTCACCTTGATCGCTGCAACAAGCAAAAAGACGACAAGTGAGCGCAAGTTACTTCGTCCAACATTCTTCACATTGCTAGCTTTCGGTCCAACCTTTCACCGTAGATCCGCAGAACACACAGCTCGTCTGGAGAGACTCGTTTGTGTGATAGCAAGCTTCGCATCGCCAGCCGTCGTTTCTACAGCAACCCATCGGTCGCACAGCCCTCATCAACAGATCAACACCATGTAACGATCCAGCAGGTGGGCGAAAAAAGACGTACGATCGCTCAATAAAAGCTCGATGGCGTGTTCGCCGCGTGGAGCTCATGCACCACTCGACACAAGCTTTCCGTGTCAAGCAGGCCGTGACCAACAGCAAGCCAGCACCAATACAGACGCCAACGATCATAGTATTCGAGAAATTGCTATGGTCGTGGTGTTCCTCTCTCTGTCTTCGGTCCATCTGTCCATCAATGACTACGACGGACCCACACTTTGTCGTTAGTACACAGCTCAGCCGAAACACGCGGACCACAGGGACGAGTTCGTGCAATGGACAGCACCGTACGTCTGTAGTCGTACGTGCCCGTGCCGCTCAAGTAGTTGTCGTCCATAATCGGCATGAGAAACCTCCAGCCAACTGCGTCTCTCTCCTCGCCACGACGTTCCGCAGCTCTTCGTACTGCTCGTCTTGCACCAAACTCCATTGCAACAGCGACGGGCCCGTAGACCAGCTGCATCGCAGCGACGACCACTAGAGACACGAGGACGTGACGTCGCGTCACTGCTGTTGTTCGCATCGGTGCGACGATCGACGGGTCTGTGCGACTGCTGCGGCTGCTGCGACTGCTTGTCAATTGATAAGTGCGGATCAGATCGATGGGATACGTTCGTGCTACATCTCGTCGAGCACAACGAGGGAAGTAGTGTCGGAGTATTTCTCGCATTTCAGCCAATCGTGCACGCTCATGGTGAAGCAGCTTCCGTGAAGTAAGCGCTGGACTCGCACCGACAGCATTCTTTTTCTCGGTGCAGTACATCCAGTTTTTGTTTACCGGCGCGCCGGGCAACGCGAGCGTACGTAGTACCTCTCTGCCCCGACTGACTGACTACAAAAGCGCTCGGTCGGACCGTGATATATAATTCGAGACACTACCACACTTGTGTCTACTACGTCGCTTCGGCATAACCGGCCGGCCACTTACTTATCCACCCACCTGTCCATTTGCATGTACACATGAACACAGCTGTGTTGCTATCCCTCTTCCTCCTCTTCCTCCTTTTCGTCCCCAATGCCAATGAATTCGTTCTCCAAAAGCGGGAAACATCTCGTCGTCCTCTTCTTCCATGCAGACGCATGCACCTCCTGCTGCAACTGATCCACACCGCTTACTACCGTCTAGTAAGCCTGACAGAATTTGCGCAAACTTGTCGATGCAGATAGCGCGGGGTCGGACCGCACGGCGTCAATGAAGGTCTGTAGACGCACCCGACGGGCATCCAGCACCTTATCCGTGAGCTCCGGCTCGGCAAACAACGTTACCCCACTAGACAAATGAGGCACCTTGGCTTCCCGCGCCTGTTTCTTGGCCTTGACCTCCTTCTTCAGCTCGCGCTCGAGCTGCTTGAACTCGTCAAACGAAGCCGTCACGTCCCACATGATCACGGGGTTCATATGCTTCTCCTGCATTGCCGACTGGGCGCCACAGTCGACACGCACAACGTAAATGTCGCGCGGCTGGCGCTTGTCAGGCGTTGTCTGCACAAACGCTTTGCCGACTCGGATGTGTGCTTTGCCCAGGTCCATGTCCACACGGCGACGAGCGTCGCCCGGTACCACGTTGACCAGCAAATGGCCCGTGTTCTTCGCGCGTACTGGAACGTGACGTCCAGTCAAGCGTGGCGGACCCGCCTTCTTTGTCGTGTCGCTCGTAGCATTCGTCTTGATGGCATACGTGGTCGGGAGCAAACTCGATGCACCGTCAACGCGTAGCAGCGGCAGTTTAGGGGCTGCCATGATCGCAGCGGCCATAGCGCTCTTTGGTGCCAGCTCAACGCTGTTGTCGGCTCGATCCGTACTCACGCTGGAAGTGTCCATGGACCACACTGCAAGTGCTGTGAACGTGTAGAAACTAATGAGCACGAGCGCTGCCGCCTGTGCGAACAGAGCGAGAGCGACCGAGACGACGTGCCACGCGAGCACGCAGCCAATGTAAGCCGCGAGCAAGAGCGAAGCCGCCGAGCTCAGGGCAATGTCCAGATGCACCAGCGAGTCGCTCGTGCTCGGCAACACGGCCAAGCGGACGCCGGGCACGTTCAGCACGACAATGGGCCGGACGCTGCCCGAGCTCACGGCCCGCGCACGGGTTTTGAGAGTCGCGTCTGCGGATAGAGACGGCATACTCTGTGTCTCAAGTGTTGTTGTGCAGTGGCAACGCAGGTAATACAAGCGGCGAGCAACGTCGTCGACGTGCGGGTCGGAAATAAATGGATTGACAGGTTCGTTCAGCTACTGCTGTTGCTGCTGTTGCACCGGTTGTGCTGGATGGAGCTCCTCCAGCGCAGTGTCTATACCACACTGACACGCTGATACAGTCGACTAAATCTGCGACGCGGTTGGTCGGGCGCATCTGATCGCGCACGGTCCTGTTTCTTGTCCCTTGGTATCGCCTTTGAAGGGGAAGTCCAGGCTATGTCGGCCAAGGGTGATGGTCCCACTGCAGAACTGGCTCTTGCTTCAGCCGCGCCGCCGTTTCGCTACCGGAGCTCGGCCAGCGCCGCATCTACCCGACAAAACCCCTGATGTAAAATAATACGACACGGCAGCGACCGCAGCTCTTGTCTTTCGTGATAATCGTGCGGGATATGCGCATGTAGAGGGGGGGGGGCGAGTGCTTTTGCGTCCGCGACTCATAATCGATTGACGGACAGTGCTGAATCGAATGGATGGCTCACGGATTCGATTGACTTCCCTCATCCAGGACAGAGTCGAGGCATCGACAGGCAGCAGTCAGGTCGAGTGCTAATCCTTCGTGCGATGCACGAAGACGACCATGAACGATGGACGACCAAGCGACAGGAAGGGTACACCGTGGCCTGCAGTAACACCAACTGGACTGGTCGTGCGGGAAGCACGCAAATGCCACGTGAACGAGCACCCAGCGTTTACCTATTGGTGCGCATAGGGCGTCGCATACGGACAAAGGGTTCTGTCGTGGCAAGCGGTCATTGCCTTGACATTGCATGGCGATACTACAACTGGATACGTCGGTAATGCAGACATCCGTCCGTGTCATGTACTGTTTCTCTCCACACACACACATACACACGGCCTCGGCTCGACTCAGCTCAGCTCAGCTCGACCTCTTATTTCAGTCGCTGGGCTGTGGCGTCCAGGAGCTGGTCCGTAAAGTCCATGTCAGCCGTGCGGACCGTCAGGTCCACAAAGCCGCCACTCCGGACCTTTACGTGGATCAATCCCACGTGCTCCGAGTTCACCAGACGGCAAGCTGCAATCGCTTCGTTCGCTGCATCAATAGCATCGATCAGAGGAACAAACGTTAGCGCTCTTGTACAAAACGTGCAAACATATAACAACTCGTAGCACGCACTTGTCGGAATGGCTTCGACCGTGTGCACCTTGAACAGGTGCATGCGACCCATAAAGTCCTCGAGGGTGCGAATGCCGCTCGGGTTCACCTTTGTCTTCTTCTCGCACGGGCAGGTGCCCCAGCGACTACCGAAGTCCTGCGTAGTGATCTGCCAGGGCTCCAGCTGCCGGCCGTTGTACAGGAAAGCGCCCGTGTTGCTGTTGCTGCTGCCGCCGAGCATATCCAAACTATTGGCAGGGCTTCTTCCTAGCTCAACAGCAGCTTGGGTAGAATCTGTCAGACCAGCAACAGTACTAATCCGTCGCACGTAATAATTGCACGTACCATTCATGCTAGAGCCAAGTCCCGACATGTCGAAAGGATCGATAGAAGCAGCTGGCGAGACACCTTCGGGAACACGCGCGGGTGCAAGTGGTGGGCCCATTCCAAACGGGTCTGCGTTCATCATCGGCTGCTGCTGCTGTTGGTGCTGTTGATGCTGCTGTAGCGGTGCCATGGGCTGCGGCTGATGCTGCTGCAGCGGTGTCATTGGCTGCGGCTGGTGATGCTGTAGTGGCGCTAGCGGCTGCTGGAACGCAACTGATCCTTGTGGAGCTGCGGGCGCGCCAAATGAGATATCAAGCAGATCCATTTCGACCTTCGCGCGCTGTTGTGGTGGAGGCGGAGCTTGTTCCATTGAGGCTTGCGCTGGAGGATCCTGCTGCTGCTGCTGGTCGCTCCGGCTCGATGCACGACGCGTGGAAGTACGACTTGTTCGACGAGTGGCAGTAATCGTGGAGCGTGCGTTCGACCCGACGCGTCGAGCCCCGGCCATTGGAGCCGGTGCACCGGGAATGCCGCCAAAGATAGCCGAAGCTAGCATCTGCCGCTCGTCGACGTTGCCACTCGCTTCGTCATCGCTCGAGGGCTCGTCGTTATCGTAGTTGCTGGAACCAGCATACTCTTGCTGTTGCTGCGGTGGTTGTTGAGAAGACTGGGGAGGGTATGGCCCCTGGCCGCCATAGGCAGGCTGCGCGCCATAGCCACCTTGTCCCCCATACATACCCTGGCCACCTTGGTTGTACGGATCGGACGGGCCAGTGCCCACTGGTATGCCAGCTCCAGGTGGAGCAGGTGCGAGGTTGTCGGGCGTTGTCAGACCCATAGGGCCCCACACGTTTTTGACAACTCCGCGCTTTCCAGCACCGAAGCCTCCAACAGGGTCTGGGCCAGCAGAACTGCCCATGCCGGGCGCGCCGCCCTGGCCCCCATTGCCACCCCACTTGTTGACCCCGAACGATCCTTGCTGGTCCACAAGTGGAAGCTTGGTCGGATACGGAATTTCAGGCTTCTTGTATGCCTCGAAGTTCAGTCGGTTCGATTCGCCGCCATTGCGACGATGACCATAGCTCTCGTCTTCGTCATCCGAATCCTCGGGCGGGTCATACAGTGATGCGCCCTGAGCAACGGCCTTCTCGACAAAACTCGTAAGGAAGGAGAGGTCGGGGTCAACCTCAATGTCTTCACAGCTCGCGTCTTCCGGGAACACCTCGTTCATCAGGGGGAAGTTCTTCGTGAGCGCGAGATACTCAAAGCAGCGTTGTTGCAGGTCCGTACTGCGACTCGTTTTGTACTTCTCCATCATAGCGTCCGCTACATCAATAGTGTGTCCCATTTGAGCGGTGATCTTCGTCACTGCCGAAAGTACGTAGCCACGAGTGGTGTCTTCTTGATTAAATGGGCGATCAACTAGCTCGACAAGGCGTTCGCAGATCTCCTCGAGCTCCATCGCGTCCGACAAGTAGCCATACTCGCCAAGGACCCAGGCCATGGTGCAGACGAGGATATCAGGTAGCACTGGGCGTTCCAGCAGTTCGAGGTACGTGTCCACTGCATCGCGGCGCAGTTCCACATCCTGGTCTTCATCTTCACCGCTTCCCTCTGCAATCAAACGCAGCAAGTTGTGTGCTACCTCAGAGCGCACAAGATCGCCACCTAACTCGAATACATTCGTCATAGTCTGGATATACCATGCGTTGCTTGGCGCATAGCGTTCAGCACATTGCGTGATACGCGAGACAAGTTCCGTGCGAAGAAAAACATCCGTAGCTTCACGAAGAAACTGGGTGAGCTTGTCCGAGATGAACTCGACATTCACAGGATTTGTCATGCGGTACAGTAGATCCAGCGTCTTGCGCTTCAATGTTTCGTCGGGGTCTTCGAGACAGTCAATCACTGCCATCTGGTGTGCAGCAGCATACCGCGGGTGGTCTTTCACGATTGCTGCAAGTCCTGTGACGCCCAGGTACTTCAGGTTATGGTTATCGCTCGAAATAAAACGAGAGATGCTGGCGGCTGCTGCATCCAGCAACGTACTGTTCGGGTAGATAGTCGTCACCGTCCGCACGCATTCGTAGATAATCGCATACCCGACGTTGATGCCAGTGTCAGCCCGGCGCATGACATCATGCAGCACTTCGTACATGCCCTCGCTGGTTTGCTGGTCCGCCTGGCCCAGCAATGCCAAAATCTTCAACAGACGAATCTGGATCCACGGCGCTGGGATGCGGTGGTAGTCAAATTCTCGAGGCAGTCGGTGCTCGGTGATTTGCTTGAGGATGCTGACAAAACTAGGCACCAGGTCCTTGTGGTCCGTGGGCGTCGCTTCGGCCAGATCATGCAAAATGCAGAGCGTCGTGCCCATGACACTCGGGTCGCGGTCACAAAGCGTGCGACGCAGCGCGACGCCAACGTCCGTGACGGACTCTGGATTCAGCTGGTGGAAGCGGTGGATCGCCATCACAGCTTTTTTGCGAACGAGCTCGGCGTCGTGGCGCAGGAGGTCGAGGATCATGGGCTGCACTGCTGGCACCATCTCGACCGTCACGAGTTTGCACACCGCCATGAGCGCTGCACAGACTTCGAGGTGGTTGGAGCTCTGGAGGTCCCGTTGCAACTGATTGATGATCATGAACCGGAACTCGTGCGTGGGCGACAGGCACAGACTGCACGTGAGGTACCCCACGCGCTTCTGCATGAGGTTCGTGCTCGCCGTCATCTCGACGGCTTTGATGTAGCCAAACGACGCGTCGTGGCCCAACATCTCCACGTACATGAGGCGGATGAGGAACTCGCGCTTGCGCTTGTTCACGAGGCTGCTGGACGTGCTGGACGACGCCGTCACTTCGTTCAGCTTGCGCTTGAGCAGCGCCACTTCATGGAGAATGATGCGGTCCTCCTCCTGCTTCGACTTGCTCTCGCCAATGGACTTGACGAGCTCGAAGCACTCCTTCGACAGGTGTCCGCCCGACATACTCGCGCGCTCGCTCCGCTGCTACTGCTGCTACTGCTGCTGCTGACGTGGCCGATCGACGCGGGGCACACACACACACACACTCGAGCGAGCGCTTGGTCTGTTCAGACCGAAAGGATTCGCGTGGTCGCTACTGCTTTATTTATTTTGACATTTGATAAAAAGTCGTCCACGGTGGCGGTCATGTGCTGGCAAACCCACGACGGGGCATACCGACCGCTGACCTCTCTTCTGGCATACCCGCAGGTGCGCCGGACACACGCGCCGCAAATGGTCGATGGGGTCGAACTCTCGGCTTCCGTCGTGCGCTCCTACAGCGTCGCGCGCAACTTCGCTCCATCGGTGCGACACACGTACATGTCAGCGCTCGTGGCCATGGACCGTCTGGTGTGCTCATGAGTGTCGGTTTGCTGCCTGGTCGAGCGCCTGTAGGATGAAGACGTGGCGCCGAACGTACGGGTCACGTCGCTGGATTTCCACCGCAACGGCGAGCGCTGCGTCACGAGCCGTAGCGACGGCGTCATGTCGATGATCAACTGCCTGAGCGGCACGTACGACTGGTGCATGTGCTCTGCTGGTAACGTGGGTGGACGCGCTCGTGGCTCATAGCGGGGACTTGTGGTGATGCACTGGCCAGAGTTGCAAAGACGATCTTGACCAAGCGGTACGGCGTCGGCGTGGTGCGCTTCACCCACCATCTTGACTGCGTGATCTTCTCGTCGGCGAACACGGCCAATGACAGTACGGTGGCCAGCTCTGTACGTTTTTGCAAGCGGTAACTGACTCACGACTGACGCTATCGTTGCGGTGGTTGTTGCTGCTACTGCTGTTGTTGTTGTTGTTGCTGTTGCTGTTGTCGCTTCTTTGCCTGCTGCTGTTTGCCAGACCGGATTCGATACCATTCGTTCTTTGACAACAAGTTCCTCCGGTACTATACTGGGCACACGGACAGGTGTAGACGATGAATTGAGGGAATGGTCCGTGACGAAGAATCATTCGCTCAAGTTGTCCCGCTGTATACTCATAGGGTCACGTCGCTCATGCTTCATCCCACTGCGGATCAGTTCCTTTCTGCTGGATTAGACGGCACGATCCGTCTATGGGACATTCGCAGCTCTGACACTTCGGTGCGTCACGATGTGGGCTCACGCTTTGATCACCATGTGGTACAGCTACTGACGACAAGTTTGCTCGCATACGTGCTTAGGCTATCATCCGGACCGCTCACCTGCCAGTGTCGCACGTCTGCGCTGCGTATGACCAAGAGGGTGTGGTATTCGGTGTGTACACGGACGACCACTTGATCCGCATGTACGATGCAAGAAACTACCAGGAGGGACCGTTCGCCAAGTTCTCACTCTACGACGCATCTATTTTGGCGGCGGTTGAGCCGTTCCTGGCTCAGTCGCAGGCTCCGAACTTGAACGCAAAGAAGATTCACGCGCTCGACCTCAAATTCAGTCCTGACGGCAACCAATTGCTTGTTGCAACAAACCGCGGCGTGTTTCTCCATCTGGACGCGTTCGAAGGCAAGCTGTTGCATCTGTTCAAAGAGCATGGGCTTGCCCAAAGTCAGCGCGACGACCCTGTACTCGGTTGCTGTTACTCGACTGACGGCGCATATGTAGTCACTGGAGCAGAGGATGGGCAAGTGTTTTTCTATGAAAGCTCGACCGGTCAGCTTGTGCACACGCTTCCTCAAGGACATAATGGTCCGGTCGTAGACTTGCAGTGGAATCCAAAGCGCCACCTTCTGGCTAGTGCTGGCGGCAACTCCACGGTATTGTGGTCAGCTGAAGGGATCTGAGTGGCAAAGACTGAAAGCGGGGGGGCTGGAGCTGGTGCAATGAGGTGTACAATGTCTTAGTGCTCGGAAGCTAAGCGCAGTTGATACGTATGCGATGTCGAAACTGAATTGAGAAATGATACTGAGTCCCGGCGGACAATCTACCACCACGATCGATCGATGCTCTGGATGGCTACGAGTGTTTCTCTTTGCCGCACATGTCATCGCGCATACTTCCTACATTTGCTTCTGAGCGAAGACTCTCATCCACGTGATGGACGCACGATCGACTTGACGGTTGGTCTGCGCATGAAACGGATTGAACCGAGTGGTGGGCTTCTTATGTCACTGACTTGGGAGTGCAGCTACGAGACATGCAGAGTGTTGCGTGCAGCTGTGCGACTACTTGTGTTTGCACCTTCAACTTGAAGCATACCGATTGACGCAAGTTCGACTCCTCTGCTCGTCAACTAGAGCTCCGTCGTGTGACCTCCTTTCACACTTCTCCAGTACTCCATGACCAACCAGGGGCTTGCTGCAACCTTCTTTCGGTTCCCCGATTGCGTGACGAATGATTCCACCAAGCTAACGGATCTTGACTGACTTTTCATACGTCGTTGTCGGTGTCCAACGACACTTTGGGACAAGTTGGGGTGCAGTCTTGCCGTCTGTGTGTGTCGGTAGTGCCCATCCAGCACTTGGCTTCTTTTCGTACGCCTCTGACCACACAGTATGCATGCGTCACTGGGTATAACGGAACTTCATGACGTCCCTTCCGTTTTAGGTTGCACGGGAATGCATGCCTCATGTGCACAGGACACATGGTCGAGTCAATCCAATGCGCTTCAAGTGGGCTCACGATGGACCGGCAGTTGGTCCTCGACACGTTGGGAATGGGCACAGTGCGACTCGCCTCAAACAAAGCGTGACCTCGCAACGGACGTCCTCAGTCTCCTTCCTAGTTGTCTTTGAGCCGCAATTGTTCCCAGAGTTGTGTCGATATTGCAATTGCACGCCAACCGTTCGATGCCATCGCGCGCCTTCTGCTGAAGCGCTGTCGCGGCATCAAATGCACATAGCGATCCTCAGAGTAGAACTCCGACTCGCGTTTCCGTCGACGAGACAACACGCAGTCAAATGTGCAAGACCGGATCGTCCCCCGTCCTGCAAACGAACAGCTTCTTCCTCCTACTTGACCACAACTTGCCGACCACAACTCGCCGTCGTTGCTGCTTGGAGTAGTGTCGGAAGGACTGATGCACTCGACGGCGCTTCGGGTCAATCGCGTCCGAACTATCTTCTGGCAGGCAATTCGAGGCTTCTCGGTCGGTCGATTCCCATGCAGGGCGACAGCAATGTTGCAAGCCGGTAAAGCGATGTGCAAACGCAAGTAACGCGTTTACCGACTGCACTCGTGTCAAACCGTCAGCATCCACGTATGGCGTTAGTTAGCATTGCCAGCAGTGCTTGGCCCCCGCGTTGTTGGAGCAGGGCGTGCGTCACGGCCGTTGATCGTAGCGTCAATGTGCAGTAGACGTGCGAGACCCTTCTCGATGACCGATGACGACGAGTTGTTCGTAACCACAAGACGCGGTGGTGACTCGGCAATTGTGAACGCGGAGGGACACACAGTTCCGACGCTGTTGTCGGACTGAGCGGACTCACTGCTCCAGACAGCAGTCGAGTCTCCGTCGCTGGTGAGGGGGTAGAGGGTGACAGCGCCAAGTGCTGTCACAACAACGCGCGATGCACAGCTGAGGCGCTATGGAACTGTTCAAGCACATGGTGACTGGTAATGGCGACGGTGCTTCAATTCTGTTGCCAAGAGGCGACTCGAGTCGCGTGGGCGTACCGTATCCGCCTGAGGTCTTCACGCCTCAATTTCTCAAGGCGGACTTGGCAGCAGCATAGCCAGAATCACAAAACCCGAGAGCGACACCGAAGAGACCCAGTCCTGTCCAACGACAATACTTTTTTGAGCACCGGCGTTGCCCTCCAGGCTTCGGAGCTATCCGACAGGTCCGCTGCCTCTCTCTCTCTCTCTCTCTTGCTCTCTTTGCCCATCCGTTAGGCATTCTGTATCCCTGCGCTGACCTCGTGTCGCGTCGATAGGCCGTTCGAGACTGTTTACGCACTCGCACTTGGGATGCGCAGGTCGTTTCGGTTGCGGCTGAGGTGTACGTCAACAGGTATAGTCAGGTCCGGATCCAGCACATCTCGTGCCATGTGCTTGCAAAAGACCTTTGCACACAGCTGCGGGCGGCCATATCGAGACACATTGGCCCAACGTCCGTCCACTCGCTCATGAACTGTTTGTCATAGCAGATCGATACTCTCGTCCGTGCACCTTTCGTCGACAAAAACTTGCGAGGCCGGTCGGCTTGTGTCACAGGATGCAACATGCTATACACACGCGTTCCTTCCCGCAAACCTGCAGTCCACTATGGCCCGCAAACGCAGTATACTCTCGTCCGCGTTCGAGCAGCACACGACAGCAGCTTCTGCCTGCGTGAACAAACATCAATCGACTCGGGACCGATCTGGTGATGAGACACGCGCTTGAACAGCTTCCCCAGTTCCATCTGTTCCTGAGACACGAAGAGTGGCCCTTCATGCTGCGACAATTCGACCCTCGCACGTCCAATCGTGTCACGAGCTGAATGGTTAGAGGCTCGTCGTTCCTGTCAGTCACTTTGCGATTCACTTGGGCATTCAAATCGACCAGGTCGGCTTCATGCAGGTACTCGCAGCGTTGGCTTTCGTCGGAAGTGCACTGACAGTCGACGGCACCGCAAGTATCGCGTTTTCAGCTCTTGCCGCGGACCCGACGATCACAGTCGATGCGACAACAACTCTGCTCGAGAACTGGGAAGGATGGGGCACGTCTCTCTGCTGGTGGGCCAACGTGTTCGGCGACCGCGAAGACGTTGCGGATCTGCTCTTCACGCACAAAGACGCAGTGACGCTCCAAGGCGCACCGTCCAGTCTGCCTGCGCTGGGGCTCAACATCGTGCGCTATAACGTTGGCGGATCCGGCAAAGCCGTGTTTAATAACGCGGGCACCGCCGTCGCCATGAACCGGTCGCCGAAGATGCCGGCGCCCAAGTTCATCGAGGCGTTCTGGATCAACTGGGCGAGCAACGTGTCGTCGAGCTCGAGTTGGGACTGGACGGCCGATGTGAAGCAACGCGAAATGCTCAAGCTGGCCCTGCAACGCGATGTGGATGTCACGGAGGCGTTCTCGAACTCTCCGCCGTGGTGGATGAACTACAACCACGCCACTGCTGGAGGAGGTGACGGCAAGAAGAACAACTTGCAGTCCTGGAACCACGACGCGTTTGCATTGTACTTGGCCACGGTGGTGAGAGAGGCGAAGGAACGCTGGGGCGTCAGCTTCACGTACGTTGAGCCGTTCAATGAGCCAACAAGTACGTGGTGGACGTTTCCAGGTGGCCAGGAGGGTTGCCACTTTGACTTGAGTGCGCAAGCCAGTGTCTTGTTGCATCTTCGGGAACACCTCAACACTTTTGGGCTGAAAAACGTCGTCATTGCAACGTCAGACGAGAACTCACCTTCGATCGCGCTATCGAGTCTCACCTCCATGTCGGCATCGCCAAACGTGATGGCGGCTTTCGGCAAAGTGAACACGCACGGTTACGACGGCTTGAGTCCCTACCGTGGCAAAGACCGGGGGCCGCTGAAGACGCTGATTGCAAACTCGGGCAAGAAGTTGTGGGACTCGGAATACGGAGAGAAGGACGGCAGCGGACTCAAGATGGCCGAATCGGTCGCTCTTGACATCAACGAAATGGGCGTGTCGGCATTCGTGTACTGGCAAGTGCTCGACGGTGCTGGTTGGGGCCTTGTGCAGTCGAATCTGGCCGAAAGCTCACTTGGCGCACCGAACACCAAGTACTACGTACTGGCTCAGTACTCGCGCCACATTCGCCCTGGAATGGCCATTCTGTCGTCGAACGACGTGAAAACCGTCGTAGCTTACGATGCTGCATCGAAATTGCTGGTACTGGTATCCGTGAACACAGCCGACGCGGTTTCGAACGTCACGTTCGACCTGTCCAGTTTCAAGTCCGTGGCGGGTCCCGTCAGTGCTTGGACCACCGAGACGAGCGGATCGGGAGCACTGTACAAGCCATCGAAGATCAAATTGACTGGCAAGTCGTTTCGTTCATCGATCCCGGCGGCATCGGTCATGACGTTTGAGATCACGGGTGCTGGAAAGTAGTGTGTGCTCGAGATATACAGACTTGTTTGATGCTTGCGACCGCCGACGCCGTGCTCACTCGGTGGACTCGTAGCGTACGGCGTCTGACCGATCGACTCTTGTGTTCTTGTTGATGAAGTAACTTGAACAAGTGTGTCAATGCTTTGATCGTGAGCGAGCTGGATATCATCTGCATTTGACCGGCCGTCACCTCTGTCGCTGTTGATGCAGCTCTTACCATCATCGATGCCTGGCCACTCTGTCCGATCGATAGCAATCGAAACACGGGTTGTAGAACTGATCACGCGTAGCTCATCTCGATGGCATGACAACTGTCGTCATGAAGCAGCGCTCTCGCGCTATGAATCGTCGTGCGTTCGACGTCATTTCTGATCCGGCAGCAGCAGTCACCTGTGTCAGGTGTATTGGCAACGACTTCCTTCTTGCTGTGAGCACGGACGAGCGACCCAGCACATCGTGGTTCAATACATGTCGTCTATACTTCATCATCATACACCTGGTGTCGTGTTGCCCACTCGTTGCTCCTGAGATGGCCCACACTCCGCCGGATGGGCTCCATGAGCATCGAGCTATCGGTCCCTTGCTCGTCTTTACCGACAAAGTCGTTATTCAGTCGACACAGTTCTTCGAACAGCACGTCGGTGGCGTTGTGCGGACTCGAGGAGTCCTGACGCTCGTCCGGACTGTCAATTCGTCGACACTTTCGATCCACCCGAGTCGCGTCTTCTCGTGCGGCGGCATTAAGGTGTGTAGCAGTAGCATCGAAAGGTTGTCTCATCATGTCTGCGATCGTCGCGAGCCCACTCACTGTGAGCAGATTTCCACTCAGGTCGACAAGCTCGAATGGCTTATGTGTGTATCGGTCAACTTGCCGTGGAAAAGCCCTAGCTCTGCAAGATGCTGGTGACTTTGCAGCAAACGTCCCGTTGCCTCCCAGCAAGTCCGTTGCTGTTCCGGGTGGTGTATCTCCAGTCTCCGAAGCTGTCGCAGGGCCGAGATGAGCTGCACGTTGTCGTCACAGAGTTCGCGGCCGTGCACTTTGAGCACCTCCATGACATCGACGAAGAGCTCCTGGCAGTCACTAAGGACATCCACCGGATCTGTAGACCGCTGCGGGTTTCGCAGGTTGAAAAGCGTGCGGAACTGGTGCTCCCAGAACACGAACCGGTAGTTGCGTCGTCGCTCCTGTGCGGCCGCCGAGTTCTCCACCGGGTTCGCTGTCCTCGTCATCACTCTCGTTCCACAGCTCCGTTGCGCTGTCCTCAAGCGACGCTCCCACTCACGCTGAGTCTCCCGGTCGAACAGGAACTGGTCGCCAGCCAGAGGGTCAAATCCGTCACGTGGTTCCTGTGCTTCAGCTCTGGCAGCCGCTTCCCACGCCATTTCCATCTGTCGTAGCCGACAGTCGGACAACTCGTGGAAGAGCTCGTGACGTACGGCAGTGGGCAGATACTCGACATTCGCGAGGAGCTCCGGCACGGGCGTCAAGTGCGCGACGGCCGTCACGGAGAGCTCTACGAGCGACTTCATGACTGAATGGTGTCGACGATAGTGTCGACGACGATGATGCCGACCAGGATCAAAGGTGTGTGGTCGGACTCCGCGTCTTAGTGACCCTTAGACTACGCTCCGGGCGCGACATCACATGTTTGCATCTCAAGTCGATCCACGCATCGAGCCCACAGCTTCAAAAGGCTATCAAAGCCCGCTTCGCCTTGTGCTAGCGCGTCCCGTATGTGTTGAGCCGCTTCGACGCTCTCTAGCTCCGTGTGCGAGTTTGTCGCCTGCAAGGAGCGCTCAAACTGCGCTGACTTCTTCGCCGCACACTCGATCACTTCATCCGGGAGCTTGGCCAGCATGGCAACGTTGATGCCATAGCTCTTGGGGCAAGAGCCGTCCTCGAGCTTGTACAGGAACGTGACCTTGCGATCGTTTTCCGGGTTCACGATGCAGCCCATGTGGCCTAGCGATACCTTTCCGTTGTCTGCGTACTCTTCGACTAGCGAGTGGTAATGAGTCGCAAACATGGTACGGCATCGGATATCGCTTAGTAGGTGCTCGACGACAGAGTATGCGATCGCGGTGCCGTCAAATGTCGAGGTTCCACGCCCCAACTCGTCTAGAATGACAAGCGAGTGTCTAGTTGCGTGGTTCAGTATCGTAGCAGTCTCGGCCAGCTCCACGTACAGAGTACTTTGGCCAGCCAGAATACGATCGGACGCACCAATTCGGGTGAAAATGCGATCCACAGGACTCAGGCGACACTTTGCAGCGGGAACAAAGCTGCCTATTTGAGCCATGAGGGTCAGAACGCAGGTTTGCCGCAGAAGCGTAGATTTTCCACCCATGTTCGGCCCACTGAGGAGGATCATTTGACCTTTCCCTTCGATACCAAGGCGCGCATCATTCGGAATAAAATCGCCATTGTCGTAGCTCGCAGCGACGCAAGGGTGCACGCCTTCTCTAATATCGATGAATGGAGTTCCTCCATTCGCAGAGCTTGCGGCAAGTACTTCAGGTTTCGTGTATCCTTCGCTCTGGCTGCTTAGCAATCCAAGACTGACGAGGCAATCGAGCACTGCCAGACATTGTACAGCTTTCATCCAGTACTTGTAGTCCTCGTCGAACTTGTGGAAAATGCGGCGTGTCTGATCCTTCAGGGCATCCTCTTTCTGGGCTTCTGCTGTAGCCAAGCGCTTCAGCAGGTCGCAAATGGTTCGTGTATGAAAGCGTTTGTATCCCTTTTTGCGAGACTTGAGTTCGTACTCTTTTGGCTGCTGCTTCAGTGCACTTTCAGGGACCTCCAACTGATAGCGGTCCTCTTTCTTTTTGCCCCAGTAGGAAATGTCTCGACACCGTAGCGCCGTGCGCTGTTCGCTTAGATACTCCGCAAGCTCGGCCTCAACCTGAGCAATGTCAGCACAAGCTGCGTCAAACTCAGTGTCGACGCCCGATTGGGGTACTATTTCACCGCTCTTTGCTGCAGCAGCTTGATCAAAACTGCGCTTGAAAAACTCGAGCCTCTTTGTGAGGTCGGGGAAGTGCCCACAATGGATGTCAGGGTAGTCACCATTGTCAATATCGAATGTTTCCAGCAGAGTCCGAAGAATAGGCGAGGTGGATCCAGAGAGACGGGGCCCCAACTCGAGGGCAAGATTCATGGCCGTATCAAACCCGTTCAGCACGGACAGAAACTCTTTGATCTTGCGAACATTGTACTGCTGCGATTCGTACATGATTGCACGGCTGTCTGGATGTTCCTTCGACCGGTACGCCGATCCAAGTGCGTGGATTCGGGACAGCAACCGCTCCAGATCAGGCAGTTTGCGGAGGAGCTCACGAATCTCCATCATCACGTCGCTGCAAGAACCCAGCTCTTCAACAGCATCAAGTCGCTCTTGTATATCGCCTATCTTGCACAACGGCTTCAACACCCACTCCTGAAACATGCGGCGGCCAAAGCTCGTCACGGTCTTGTCCATGATGTCGATAAGCGATCCCGAACGTGAGCCGTCGAAACTGTTACAAAGCACCTCCAGGTTCTTAATCGTCTGCGAGTCCAACACGACATATTGCTGGTTCAGCTCAGACTTTGCCGCAGACACTGCTAGAGTGTCAAAGCGTGCATCCCGCGCTTCCTCGTCAGAAGGCTTGTACCGTTTGAACTTGCAAAGCGAAAGCAACTCCCGATCGATTATGCTTCGACGCAAATGCCATATGCAGCCTCCCAGAGCACTGACTGCAAGTCGGCCCTCGGGTCGTACTACTTTGTCCATTTCCAGGAAGCAAAGAACATCTTCCGGCCATCCGTGCTCCTTGAAATACCCAGCCTGCTCAATTTCGTCAATCGTCTTTGATGCGTCCCAAAACTCTTTGCCCACTCGCAAGGACGACCGAACCGCAGCAGGTACAGCGTACTTGAGCACCATCTTGGTGACATCCGATAAATTGAATCGCTCGGTCACGACTTCTACAACGTGAAACTGGGCAAAGAGCGTTTTCAGACGGTCACGCTGCTCCGTGTCGTCAAACTCAGCAATTTGGAAGGCGCCCGTAGAGCAGTCTACCATACAAAGACCGAAGCGCACAGTTTTTTGCGCAGGATCGCAAAACTCTTTCAGCGCGAGGAGGTGCTTTGACATCTGATCGTGCGACGACACAGGAGGGTCTAAAAAGCTGACAGTATTGGTACCGACGGACAGCAGCGAGCACACCTCACGACGCACAACTTTGGCTTTCTTTGCCAAAGTGCTGTTTCGGACCTTCAACATGTCAGGCGTTTCTGTTTGTTCAACGCGAGCAACACGATACCCCTTCGCGACGAGTTGCGACGACATCTTCGAGTACGCGATCTCTGGGAAGCCCGAGTGTGCTTTTTCCCCTTTCATATAGATGAGATTCAGCTCTTTGAAACCAACATCGGCATCCATGTGGAACAACTCATAAAACTTGCCGACCTTGAAAAAGAGCACCGTGTCCATGTTCTTCGCCTTCACTTCCCACCACTGCACCATGGCTGGGGTTTCTTTTCTCAAAAATTCAGCTGGCACTTTGAGAGTGCGTGGATCAAAGTCCGGCGAGTCTGGTGCGTTGCCATTACTATCACGTCGCTCTTCGTGTAGCCAAGACAGCGAGTCATGGATATGGTTGCCAGCCCCCGCAACGGAGCTTGGCATGCTGGAGCTATCTGCACCTTTCTCAGTGTGCGAGGTAGATGCATCGTTCCATTTCGTTTTGGCCGCAGGTGGGGGAGACGAAAAGGACTTGACCGCCACCTTCGTTGACTTGCTCGTGGCAGGCGCACTCTTTCGTCGCTTCTTGCGTGGCAAAACCTCTTCCTCGACCTCCTCGACCACGAAATCGTCCATATCGTCGTCGTCAGAAGGTTCGTGTTCCGCAGCGCTACATTCGGACTCGTCGCCACCACCGCCTTCCTCCAAGCTGTCCTGCTCCATCCACTCGTCTTCACTGCTCACAACGTTGCGCGTGATGGTCTGCACCTTCCGTCGATACGATACTAAAGCCACAGGCTCCTCCTCTCTGTCCGAGTCGTCTTCGTCATTATCATCATCTCGAATCACAAGACGTCCAGCCCGTCCCTTTTTCGTCTGTACCAGCAGTTCCTTCTTCTCCTTTTCCTGCCCGTCCGTCATCGTGTCAGGTTTCCTGACCTCTTCGTCCTCGTCCTCTGAGCTCGTGCCAAGGAAATCTTCGTACGCCTTGCGCTTGACGCCACTAGCGATCGATGACGTCACCCCTCGCTTCGTATCCAACAGCTCATCACTGCTGCCGTCTTCATGCGCCTGAATTGCCGTCGCCGTTTGCTGTATCTTGGGCGAAAACTCAATCTTCTTACGCGTCGTGCCTTGCGACGCGGCAATCGTTCGTGGCACAGTCACTTGCACCACGTGACGGCCTTCCTCAGTAGCACATACATCTACCTCATGTGTCTTCTCCTTCTCCTTCTTCTTCTCGGAAGTCGACGCACTGGCCAATGACGGCGGGCTGAAGAAACGCAGCAACGAGCTCTGACTCTTCTTCTGCTTCATGTGAGTCCACGGACGACGACCAATGCTACTCCCGCCAAAACAAAGATCGCGGCGGGAGAATCGACCAATCAGTGCGAAGCGTTTCGCAAGGCATTGCAATTGCCCTTGTGACGACGAGACACACGTTAAGGGGACCGTGAGATTGACATTCTTCGATAGATACGACCGCTAAAGAGTATATGGTGCTCAGACTCGGGATAGAGAGGACAATGAGCTCGTCAAGCAGTGCGCGTGGCAATGCCTGGAACAAAAGCTGCATACTGCGTGAGGATCAAAAGAGCGTAAACACGTCCGTTCTTGTCAGGCGTTTTGTGTGGGACGTCGTTAGGTCGTTGCGTTGGCGGCGGTCGAGAGTACAGTAAACCGTCTGCTGTCGATCGACGCTGTCGCTGGATATCTCGGACAGCACTTTGTTGCAACGTGTGGCAGCAGCTTCGCGTCCACGTGCATTCTTTCTGGACCCGTACTGTGCACATCACAAGCTTTGGCTCTTGTCTCTTGTGCCATCTCATGTAGCAATGGCTGCAAGGACAGAGCTCTCGTGTCAATGTTCGCAAGACGGCCGCGACAGAACCACACGGACTGCAGCACCAGTGAGAACGTCACCGCAAAAGAGTGAACAGCTGCACGTCACACTGCTGAAGATGCAAAAGTGGGTCGGCAGCACTTGCCCCTGTACCAACCGCCCACCAACGAGAAGTCAACTGGGAGTGCATCACGATGCCACATCAAGAGGTGATGCATCTTACTGGTATATACCAAGCAGGATACAGGTTTACTGGTGAGCAGAGTTTGCCATCGCGGCGATCGGTGCAAACGTCGAGTGGTTTGTCCGCTTCCGTCGTGGACAGTACCAGTTACATCACCAGTCGTGTCTTGTCTTCAGTGGTGTCTGAAGTATCAGCGAGAGCCTGCAGAACAGACTGCCCCATCTCCTGTCCTCATTCGGTGCGCCAAGTTCGACCTGTACATGGCCACATCAGGAGCAGCTCTCGCACAGACGCATGCAAGCAGGACACGCCACTACCGCAACACACATCGGGCCCGCACTTCTCGTCGCTCGGCAGGCAATACACGGCACACCACGTCAGTAGAACCCATTCTCAGCAAGGCTGTATTAAAAGTTTACCCAACTTTCGCCCTTCCCTTGCGTCTACAGTCGCTCGTCGTGCTCGACTGCTCTGTTCGTGTTCCAGGCAAGAGCCACTCCGTACGTACAAGCGCCTTAGCTGGCCGGGACACCGCCACCCGACTTCAGACGCAGCTGGGCCTGGCGCTTGCGCGACACCTTGACAGGCTTGGCCTCCTCCACGGCCTTGGCAACGTTCGCACGCTTCTCTGACAAGATCAGCTCAATGTGGGCAGGGTTGGACATGTAGGGCCCAATGCGACCATGCGCGCGGTACGTGCGACGACGCTGTTTGATCGCAGCATTGGCCTGGGCGTGCGAGACGTACAGCTGGTCCGTGTCCAGCCCCTTGACCTCGGCATTGGCCTCGGCGTTCTTCACCAGGTCCAGGATGATCTTCGTGGCCTTCTGCGGCCACTTGCACTTGTCCCCGGCAGCGCCACGGAGCTTGCCCTGCGCGTGACGGCCGCAGCCGCCCGTGAACTTGGTAAACGGCACCGCCTGCTTGTACTCGAGCACGGCCTCGAGGAAGCTCTTGGTCTTGCTCAGCGGCATGCCCTTGATGGCGTGGCACACCTCACGGCAGTGCTTGAAATGCACGCGCAGGTGCGAGCCACGGGCCTTCGCGGCGCGCTGCGCGTCCTCTGGTTCCTGGCTGTACGACGGCATGCTGCTTGCTCCACGTTCGGGTTCTGGAAACTAGTGAGCCCCACGGACGCTGTCGAGGCCACCGGCGGCACCACCACCACCAATCAATGGCGAAGGGGGACTCCCTCGCTTTTCCGGTCCGGCGGTCACTATCGACGGGGCGGTGCGCGAGTGACGTCGTCATACAAGCGAGGACCAAAGCCCAGCGCCGAGAAGGCTCATGTTCGCGACTCTGAAAGTGCATACTCGAGTCGTTGTTTTGGATGCACGAGGCTGTTGGGCAATACATTATTACACGGCGACCTTTTTGTCTCCTCTATTCGTGCATCGATGCTATCAGTATTCAACACACATGCAGCTCCATTTGCAAACATGTAGGCTTGTATGTTGCAATTCGCGTATGTGTGTGTACAGCTCTCTTTCAAAACGTCGTGTCAGACGCGTCTGAGACACAAGTAGCAGAGTCGTCATCACGAGTACTTTCCTTGTCGTCGTTGTCCAGTTCATCGCCCTCCTTTTCTGCTTCTTTATCACTGCTGATGCGCTCTTTGCTGTACGAAGTGCGTTGCGATGCTGCACGACGCGATCGTCGGTCCCCTATAATCAGACTGGTATCGATGCCCTCCAACTCTCGCTCCTTCTCTTTCTTCCTCTTCGCCGCGCTAATGTCTCGACTCGAAGGGTACAAGCCAACAAAAGAAACGCCGGCATCGAGCAACCGGTCACGCAATACCTCTTCTGCCTCTGTAGTTGATGCAGCGTCCTTTAGCATCTTGTACACTCGTGGACTAAGCCCATTGACAGAAAATGAATGCGTGAGCACAGACGGCAACACACCCGATCAGGACGTGATACCACCACACGTACTTGAGAACGCCCGCTGCGCGACCTAATTCTTTCAAGAGAGCGAGGCCTGCAGGGTCCGGCAGCTTCGCGGTCTTTGACTTTTTTTATCCGGTACTGCCACTTTCTTGCTCTCTCGCTTTCTCTTGTGGCTGCTTCTTGGCTGATACATTCGACAGCACAGCACAATGGAAAACGAGCATCAGTCCAAATAATGTAACAATACAGCACAGCAACGGACCAACTTGTGGCAACACTCGTACCGCCGGCCGTCTTTTTCCAGCAGAAGCCCCACCGTCTCCTTCGTCATCTTCAACGTCGTCGCTGCTACCACCTCGCGGGAGCGCTACTGCATGGCCTTCACTGGTCTCACTATCACCGACTTCACCGTCCTCGTCTTCCTCGTCCACCACTGCATGGCGCTTTTGCACGCTGCGCGTCCTCTTTGGTCGCAGATCCAGCGCTTCCTCCTCGTCTTCGTCACCTTCCGACGGCTCCGCGTCGCTTGTAGTCGCACACCCAGTAGCACAAAGCCCAATCAGGTCCGGCAACACCGCTTTGATATGAGGTCTCCACTGCGCCTTCAGCTCTGCAAACTCCACGTCGAAATGCACTGCGAGTTTCTCGATCACCATCTTGAGCGTTGCCGTGTCCACGTGCATCGACGGCAGAACATCTCGCAGAGCATTGACGACGGACTGTTCCGTAAGTATCGACTGCGTGGGCACTGACAGAGCTTTGGCCGATGGGTTTGTCGTCGTCAGTGGCTCTTGCGGCATTGACTTGAAAAGTGGTCGAGCGGATGTGAGGTGCGTGGCTGGCCTCAAGGTACGCTCGACAAAACCGGTACTGAACCGGTACAACCGAGCGCACGACGCATCACTTGCGCCATCACAGAGTATCGTGTAGCTCCAATTGGCGGCAAGAATATGGTACTTAAGAAGCGTGAGACGATGTTTACAGTTTATTGCAAACAGCGCCCAAATGCAGCGATATGATTTTGTCCGTAGCCCATCGTGATGTGCGAAGAGCAGGTCACGCTATTCGGTGCTTGCGAGACAACTAGAAAGGTTTTGTACTTGTTTATGCCAAGTTCGCGTTGTGTTCCTTCTTTTCGGGCAATACCGTGTCGATACTTGTTCTCCTGCTAACGTCTTTGCCTACAAAACAGCTCAAGCCATTTGTTTGTCGTGACAACGCGCTGTAGCGGCTGATGCCTTGCTGCTGGTGCCACTAGAGGCTCTCGAATACGCAAACTGGTGACGAGTGAGCTGAGGCACGTACGACTGCGAGACCAAACACGCGTATTTTGTTTCATTTTGTTGTCACTTCAAATCGAGCTGCGGGTCTCTCCTTCGATGGACACTCCCTGGTCTTTCTCTGCTCACAAACGTGCGTACCTGCTAGTCGTCCTTGACCTCGTTTTCAGAGTCAGATGACGCGCCTTCGTACTCCTCCTTGGCCGTGTCATGAGTGCCCTTCGTTGCCACGCCAACAAGTATTCGCGCCAGCAGGAGACCCCACCAAATGTGCAAGAAATAAAGTGTCGTGAGCAGAACGTTGAAGAGCAGCCACGATGGAGGTCCGGGGTGAGGAAAGAGCTGCGTGAAGTCGTGCGCATCCGCCAGTGTCATGGACGCCTCTCGGCATTCCACCATGGTCGTGTACAGCAGCTTTGTCGGGTACTGGTAGATACGGTAGTAAAACCACAGCACGATCGTAATCGCAAACAAGATCTCGCTCGTGAACAGACCACGGACGCCTTCCATCTTGAGGTAGTTGGCCATCTTGAGCATGTCGAGAGGAATGTCAGTCATGTCATGAAACAGCAGCACCACGACGCCCACGGGCAAAAAGCCCACCGCGTACGACCACGTGACGAGGGCAATCGTGATCACGTGGTGCGTCATCATGACGAGATAGTCCTTGCGGATCTCTTCAAGAAACTTGCACGAGAACGCGGTGAAGATCCAGATGGCCTACAAAAAAACACCCGTCGACAAGCACCGTCCACATCAGCGACCTACCTACCTACCAATCCCCTCCTACAGTCGGTGCCATCGTCATATCAACCACCAAAAAGACAGAACCCCGCGCCACACACACACCGCACCAATTGCGTCACGTAGAGCAGCTTCGTGGTAAACTTGTGCGACGGGAAGACGCCCTCCTCCGTGCCCTGGTTCCACACTGCACGCACGTCAACAAACAATAGACCACACACAATGGACCCCCACACACGTGAGCCACAGAAGAAAGCACAGCAGGTATTGGACCACCCACAGCACTGCTCGGCGTCCTTACGTGTCGTCGTGTCCTGCCACCACGTCTCGCCGCGCAGCACGTACAGCTCAAAGAGCGTCATGGACACGTGAATCGCGAGCTGCCACGACTGGTCGCACCACTTCTTCATGGTCACTGTCTTCTTCAGGGGGTCGCCCAAGTGCTGCAAGAAGGTGCGGGAGAACCAGCCGCCGCCCATGGCGAACACCGTCTTGATCGCTTTCACGACGAGCGCCATGAGGGCGACGAGGACCACGAGGATGGAGAGCATGTGCTCGTCGTCGTACAGCGTGTGCGCGATGATCCCCAACTCGCACACGAGCAGACCGACGAGCAGACGGTCGAGGAACGGGTTGGGCGGCGGGACCGATCGCGCCATGACGTGCGGCAGAGTTGGGGTGTGACGGGGTACGACACACTCGAGACGGTGGGGACGACGGAGGAGGCGGCGGGGGAAGGAGGAGGAGGAGTAGTAGTCGTGGTAGTAGTAGTAGTAGTCGTAGTAGTAGTAGTAGTAGTAGTAGTCGTAGTAGTAGTAGTAGTCGTAGTAGTAGTAGTAGTAGTAGTAGTAGTAGTAGTAGTAGTAGTAGTAGTAGTAGTACTACTAGTAGTACTAGTAGTACTAGTAGTAGTAGTAGTAGTAGTAGTAGTAGTAGTAGTACTAGTAGTAGTAGTAGTAGTCGTAGTAGTAGTCGTAGTAGTAGTAGTAGTACTAGTAGTAGTAGTAGTAGTAGTAGTAGTAGTAGTAGTAGTAGTAGTAGTAGTAGTGTTATCGAAAAGGTAGTGATAGTACTTATGAGAGGTGTGGTCGCCGTTGTAGCTTCATTGATGGGTGCGGAGATCAGAGTAGTTGTGCACGATACTTCTGCTACGTACTACTAGTGCTACTGCTACAAGGATGGATGTGGGAGGATCAAGTGACGTTGGTGGCAGGGCGTCCGGTAGACTTACTCCTGCAGCGGCCGCTCTGTACCGCCATTACGATTCGGTCGATCGTTGAGCCGTTTCAAAACGTCCAAACTCGTAGTAAAACATTGTTTGGCGTCTTGAGCACGACCCACAAGCTCGTAGCCTTCCAAGTTGCCCTGATTGCTACTCAATCGTCCACCATCTTGCTTACATCTCCAGATCAACCGGTCTGTCTGCACGACTATGGTACGCCACGCGGGCTGCCAAACCAGGACATGACATAGTTATCGACATCCAGCTGACAACGCGGCTGCCACTTCCATGTGCGGTATCACGCACAGCAAGTTTCCAGACGCTCGAGATCCTTCTCATTGATGTTGTCCAAAACGCTCAAGCACGCGCGACGGTTCACTTCTCGAAAATGGCTGTCCAGGTCCACGCGAAGTTTCTCACTCGTTGCTTTGGCCGCGAGGCTCTTGCTCAGTTTGTCAAAGACGACGAGGATCAAGAACTGGTTGAGTACACACACTTTGTAACACTGACGCAGCTCCTCCAGCGACAAACGCTCAGCGCCCGCTTCAGTCGTCAGTGCCGTGTGATACATTTTAAGGCACTCGCCTTCTTGTTCTCGACGATGATCAGTCCGCACACTCACAATGAAGAAAAAGGCGAGGTCACGCAGCGGATTGCCTTTTCCACACGTCGCCCAGTCCAGGAGCCACGTGGTCTCGTCCGAGCCACTCGCTGGTATCAGCACGTTAGCAATATGAAAGTCGCCGTGAATCAACGAAGACGGTCCGTCTTCGACCGTATCGTGCAGCACTTTGAGCACGTCGGGCTTGTCGCTCAGTCGATGACACAGCGATGTCAGTCGAGCTCTATCGCTGCTTTCCAGCGGGATATCGTCGACGAACTCCTTCCAGCAACCTGGAAACCGCAGACACTTCTCTTCACCCGTCAGTTGACTGCCTATTCCTGCCGGGGTCGCCAGCCCATCGCAGTCATGGCCCCAGAAGCGAGCGTGCATCTGGGCGAGTTTTACCACCAGCCTCGAAATGTACTGCGGCGGACTTCCCTCCACGCACGTATAGGTCTTCACGGACTCGACACACTCCATCACAATCAGCACATTGGACGTGAAAACGGCTCGTGGGATCGCGAACGGGAATCCCGTGACGACCGCCGAGTCGCCCTCAACCGAGTGGCCTGTTTCCAGCATAAGCTCAGCATAGAAAGTCGACTCGACGACGAACATGGACTCGAACGGGAACTCTGGCCGCAAGAACTTCGCCACGAAGCGCCGTGTCGTGCGTTTCACTGCACTGTCGCCATCGCGACTCTCACACGCCACGGTGATCGTCACCACCTCTGCGATCACGCCAATATTCATAGGGCTCCATTGGAAATCGACCACCTGAGCTGTCGGAAGAGACGGGCGCAGAATCTGCTGCAGGAAATGGGTCGTGAGCTGCTCAGGTCGCGTCGGGATCTCAAGGGGTCCCGTCATGAGCGCGGGCGGACCTATGCGGCGTTTCGGCGACTGCAGGCGGTTCTCTGATTGGTCAAATGTGGAAAAGGTCTGTTTCGATTGCCGCCCACTGTTGTTTGTCAACCACGTGACGCACGTTGTTCTTGTGCTTCATATTACTATTGATATGAATGTTAATAGTACTATTACTATTGATACTGCTCCAAAACAATTCATTCTTCGATCCAAGCGCATACTTGAGTTATCGTGACCGTCTTTTCGAGCGGCAGACATTGGTGGCATTTTTGTGTACCTGGTAGAAGTCGTCCTTCATTTCCATTAGCATTGTGCATTGTCGGACGCTCAGAGCTCAGCGAGGAAACTCATGTTCTCGTGCACGTGACTCTGTCGTTGCACGTGCGTTGCTATGGGCCGTGAGAAGCGGACAGGAGCGATAATGCCGACCGGAACAACAACGATGAGGAAACAGAGCCGCCGACTTCTTTTCCTCGTCACCGAAAGACGTCAATGAAAGTAATTTCATGTCGTGGACGACACAATGCGAGGAAAAGGAGAAAGCACCGGCGAAAGCGTACCGCCCACTTGTCAGAGGAATGGACCGGCCCAGTGTTCCGCACACACAACTTGCGGCACCACTTGCAAACACAGCGCCCTCCAAGGTCGGAGGGTGTCAAGACGTTTGACCGCCATACATCCAAGAGCTGAACACTCCAGCAACGGATACTTCGTCGCGCACATCTCCGGGTCACCTCTCACAGTTCGGCACCGATCGCTCTTCACGACCGCTTTCACTCAAGCCAGTCGTTCCTTGCTGGAGCTCGATCTTGTGCACGACCCTGAGGAAAGTCGATGGTCGAAACCGACATGGACTCGTGCGTTCGTGCAGGTCATCACGACCTGGATCAGCTCTGTGCATCAGTATATACTGTTGTAGACGCAAGCGTGGACTGCTTTGCGCAGAACCCCATCAAAGTGAACCAAGGTCCTGCAACCCCGACCTCTGCCGTCCAAAGGGCAGCAGTGGACGGCTGCCGACGCCGCAGTCGAAGGCTTCGCACTGTCCTTCGTCCCTATTGCGTACGGGAGCGAAATATTTGGTTCCCGTTGCAGCATCCCCGAAATCCCCAGCAACAACAACTGGCAACTTACCAATCGATAGTCTGAATTTCGTTCATACTGTTGTCGCAAGTGCACAAAGGAAACAAATATCCGAAATATCGCGTCACTAAGACACGGAGTCCGACTCCGACCACACACCTTTGATTCAGGTCGGCGTCGTCGGCGTCGTCGTCGTCGACACTGTCGTCGACGTCATTCAGTCATGAAGTCGCTCGTAGAGCTCTCCGTGACGGCCGTCGCGCACTTGACGCCCGTGCCGGAGCTCCTCGCGAATGTCGAGTATCTGCCCACTGCCGTACGTCACGAGCTCTTCCACGAGTTGTCCGACTGTCGGCTACGACAGATGGAAATGGCGTGGGAAGCGGCTGCCAGAGCTGAAGCACAGGAACCACGTGACGGATTTGACCCTCTGGCTGGCGACCAGTTCCTGTTCGACCGGGAGACTCAGCGTGAGTGGGAGCGTCGCTTGAGGACAGCGCAACGGAGCTGTGGAACGAGAGTGATGACGAGGACAGCGAACCCGGTGGAGAACTCGGCGGCCGCACAGGAGCGACGACGCAACTACCGGTTCGTGTTCTGGGAGCACCAGTTCCGCACGCTTTTCAACCTGCGAAACCCGCAGCGGTCTACAGATCCGGTGGATGTCCTTAGTGACTGCCAGGAGCTCTTTGCTGATGTCGTGGAGGTGCTCAAAGTGCACGGCCGCGAACTCTGTGACGACAACGTGCAGCTCATCTCGGCCCTGCGACAGCTTCGGAGACTGGAGATACACCACCCGGAACAGCAACGGACTTGCTGGGAGACAACGGGACGTTTGCTGCAAAGTCACCAGCATCTTACAGAGCTGGGGCTTTTCCACGGCAAGTTGACCGATACACACGTCGCACAGATGCGCACAACGCTGGCAAAGCCAACGTCGACGGTCGAGACGGGTCTGGGCACGAGCAAACTCACGTCGCTGGACTTGGTCTCGGTGAAGCTGCGGCCTGAAGGGTATCGCCAGTTAGTGCGTCTCGTGGCTGACATGCCGCACTTGCTCCAGCTGCGATTGAGCAACTCGATATCGGATTTGGACGCGAACTTGATCGTCGATGCAGCATTTCGAGCCCCGAAACTCGAGCGCCTCTTCTTGGAGCACAACGAGCTGGACGATAGTGCATTCATCGGGCTCGCAACGGTGCGGCAGCCACTGGCGTTGCGCCACCTCCGTCTCAGTGACAACGATGTGTCGGCGACAACGGTCGGGGCAATCTGCCGCGCAAGTATGGACGGCGTGCTGAACCTCGACCGTCTGGAGCTGGCAAATAATCTACAGATGGGCGATCCAGGCATCCACGCGCTGACACCAATGCTCGCCTCTCCTGACGTTCGACCGGCCGTGGTGTTGACTCACCTGGACGTTCGTAGCTGCGATTGTGGCCTCGACGGTGTCACCAACCTGCTGCTAGCTCTGGGCCATAACAAGACAGTCACGCATTTGAACGTCGCCCAAAACTTCTTTGACGTTGGTTTTGGCGACGTCCTTGCGGAGTTTCTGTCGACCAATGACTCTGTCACACACCTGCAGGTGAACGGCGTTGGATTAGGGCTAGCAGGCGTGTCAGCTCGGCTGTTGACAGCAGTGGAGAGCAACATGGCACTCACGTCTTTCTCAGTGGGAGCGAATCGACTGCGGAATGATGGCGCCATTGCACTCCTTCGAGCACTTGTGAAGCGGGCGCGGACGAAGCCATTTAAGCTTGTCGACCTGAGTGGAAACCTGCTCACAGTGAGTGGGCTCGCGACGATCGCAGACATGATGAGACAACCTTTCGATGTTACTGCTACACACTCCAATGTCGCCGCACGAGAAGACGCGACTCGGGTGGATCGAAAGCGTCGACGAATTGACAGTCCGGACAAGCGCCAGGACTCCTCGAGTCCGCACAACGCCACCGACGTGCTGTTCGAAGAACTGTGTCTACTGAATAACGACTTTGTCGGTAAAGACGAGCAAGGGACCGATAGCTCGATATTCATGGAGTCCATCCGGCGGAGTGTGGGCCATCTCAGGAGCAACGAGTGGGCAACACGACACCAGGTGTATGATGATGAAGTATAGACGACATGTATTGAACCACGATGCGCTGGGCCGCTCGTCCGTGCTCACAGCAAGAAGGAAGTCGTTGCCAAATACACCTGACACAGGTGACTGCTGCTGCTGAATCAGAAATGACGTCGAACGCACGACGATTCATAGCGCGAGAGCGCTACTTGCTCATCGCAGATCCCCGTTTGCTGATCAGATACACGCGGCGCTGCATAATCGAACACCGGGTACTCGCGTTCTCGTTGGTGCCACTCACGACCTTCTTTCCGCTCGATGAGTACGCGTTGCTTGTCTTGGAGCTCAGAGATGTCCGACCCCAACGAGTCGAGTATACTCCGCAGCGGGTGGGCGGTTTCCTGATTCTCAATATTCGAGTACAGACAGTCAGCATCGGCAAATAATTTATCGTCCGTATCGTCATTATCGCGGTCACCATCGTGGGCGTCATCGGAGCTTTCATCGTCTTCGTCGCTCTCATAATTTGACCCATCGTCGTCAGACACGACAACGTTCTTCTCGTACAAGCGGCGCTTTTTGGCAGAACTCTTCCCGTATTGCTCATCTTTGCCCCGTCTAGGCGACTTGCTTGAGCTGTCACAAATGTGCCGCCTTGGCGCCACATGTGGCTTCCTCACACACAAATCGTTTTCGGCATCGTCGTGGCTGCTTTTCGCTTCACTGCCATTGCCCGCTGCATTCGTCATAAGGTAACAAACACTGAGTTCGTATCGACGTGGGCAACTTACACGAACAACGACGACATCGCACTACGCACCTGCGGCATCCAATGAGTGCACCGATGTACGGTGGGAACCACCATTGTCCACGTCCGAATACCCATCGTCCCTTTCTTCCCAGGTGCCCTCTACCAGTTGGCAGCATCAGGAGATGACGGTAAGCTGATGCAAAAAATTGCGGCCAAAATGTCAACGAACCTGGACTAGACTGCTTTCCGACGGTGCTCAAACTCTGCGCGTCTGCAATATCTTCGTCGCCTGTTTGTGGTGTTCGAGCAGGTGACTCAACATGAGATAGTTGCTCGTGGACATGCCCACGCTTGCCTTTCTTGACAGCCTCATTCTCGTTTTCTCGCTGAGGTATACGCTGAGCTGGAGATACACGTGGAACCAGGCCTGGGTCACGTTCGTTCTCGTCGATGACGGGTACTTGCTCGATTGACGTCGACGAATGGGTGCCCGGTACCAGATTTTCAAACCCGTCTAATGAACCGAATCCTGGATGCACATCGAGCAACGTTCAGATTACATATTCCAACAACAGACTCGCAACAGGGTATCGTACGTTGCTCGAACCGGGTAAGAATGAACTGCCCGTGGACAAAAACATCTTGAAATGCGACACCTATCGTGCAAAAGAAAGTGCCAGAGTAAGTTCCGCATCCACAGATCCGTGCTCCCGCCAGAAACGACATCCCAGTCTATTCTGTATCCTTGCTGCTACGGAGGGGATCGACGCATCGCGTACCTGGTATCTGACTTGCGACCGTTGAGTAGAAAGCAACTAATCTGTTCGACCGGTACAGTCCCAGAGATTGTTGCATGCATCGTAGCACATTGTGCACCACCTTTTTCTTCCATTGACACTGCTTTGCAATGTCCTGGACAAATGTCGTGCCATCGTTCACGGACAAAGCGCCTTTTGCTCGTGCTGTTCTGACTAGTGGTGGCCGCGAAGCGGCAGCTGTCTCCTTGGTACAGGGCTCGCTCGCACAAGCAACATCAGCCGCATGGTGGGTCCCCGCTACAACAGAATTGGCTGTTTTCAAAGGGGACATGCCTTGTGCCGAAGCATCCGTTGCCTTGAGTCGGAAGCTCGTCGGCGCTCTGTCAGCTACCGGCGCTGTAGACCGGAGTTTAGCTACTGGCGTATACGCGCTATTGCTACGTCGCCTTTTGCTGCGCCGAGCAGTCAGCTTGTGGCCTGTCCAAACGTACGTTACGCATCATCCGTTCAATAATCACGATTCTGATCCAAGCGTGCATACACGCACGCACGTACTTCGTCTCCTCAATGCTAAATACCCGAGTGCGTGAGGGTCGTCCGGATCACTCCAGTCTGGTCCATTCGAAATACAACACCGGGTAAGTGCGCGAACGAATACGCGCCCAAAAGACCCAACACTTTACTTGCGCTGAAGACCTTGTGCGCTTCAGATGTCGGATCGAAAACGATGGCCGGCAGACCTAAACATGCATGTAAACAACACATTACAACAACGTAACGCAACGCTAAGAGCAGCGCATTGCTTACTCGCTGCGCGGACTGTCGTCGACTTTCCCAGAAACTTGTCTTTCATGTCGACTAGCTTGTGCACACATGATGCGTCCGTTCGATCTGATACAGACACGTGACCCGAAGCACACTGCGTGAGCAGCTACATGACCAACAAGTAGTACGATCACACAATAGACCTTACGTAGTGTATCGGCGACATAGTTTATAAGGTCCGACCTTCCCGTCTGTTGGATTTCGTTCGTAATTCGAACGACAAAGTCCACAAGCACCTCCATGTCTTCAGAAGACCAGAGCCTCAAAGCTTTGTTCGACGCTGACGTTGCTTCATTTTGATGAGCAGTAGATACGTCGCCAAAAATTGCTTCCAATAGCTCGAGCCGCACAGACTCTACCCTCTTTCGCTCTGAACAGTATACATCCGGAGTGAATTAACTGTGCACTCATTCATCGCATTCACAGTATAGTGGTACACTCACGATATACGCAAAGCTGCTTCTCACGCGCGTAGATGTTACGGAACGCATGGAATTTGCTCTTCGTCTCTGCAACCGATTTGCCTGTTCCATTACAATCGTGAAGACCAACACACTACATCATCGGCATTTGGTTTTTCCAGCAGAATACTCACTCCATACTTGAATTCGCTTAAAGTACACGTCTTCGTTCTTCGACAACAAGTCACGATATTGGCGAGCTTTCTGCAGGAGCCGACGAAGCTCGTCTGGTAGCCACAGTCCACCAGCCTTGTTCTCGGACAGTGCTCGAATCGATTCGTAGATGTGATTGTAAACGTAGACCTCTTGTCCATTCGCCACGATAACTGCTCCTCACATCCCACACAAACACACACCTCGTCCATGATTACCTCAACACAGCACCACTCGTCCATACACGGCCATATTACTAGACTGCAGCAAGCAATCAGTAGACCGAATCTCGCACCATCTTTGCGAAAGTTCTTCGTGCTCAGTCCCAGAGCAAACTGGTGCATGAGCGCCCGCACCATCTCCAGAATCTCTGCCGCCCGTTTCTCTGCCCAATTCGTCCACCACCACGACGAGCGAGCGGGCAATACACAGGAAAAACAACAACCGCAACAACAACAACAACACCACCGCCAGCAACAACAACAACAACAACAACAACAACGGTAAGCTCGTGGTCCGTCACTCTTCGCGTTGCGACTTGCAGACCGTTTCGTGTGTTCGATCAACCGAAACGGGTGCTACCGACGCACCTGGAAGCTCTGCACGCACTACCTCCACGAACTCACTGTCCGACGTGTACACGTAGTAGAGCAGGTACTTGCGGAACAGCGACAGCAGCGCCAGTACGTCGGCGTCGCCCCATCCATGCAGCCGCATGCGGCTTCTCTTTTGACAGCGAAATGCGCGTTCTGATTGGCGGTTGCCCATCAGGGCTAGGGACAGATGGTCCGCGACCGGCGGCACAAAAACCAAAGAGGCGAGCCGATGTTGCGCGGAGGTTGCTCGAAGGCAGTCCACTGCCACCGCGCGACAAAAACGAGCATGTTGGACGCCGAGGAGGACGAGGCGAGCAACCCGCGCGCGCTGCTCATCCCCGTCAAGAACTCGGAGCAAGCAGTGGAAGTGTTTGTCGATGAGCTCCCGGACGATGTGAACGACATTATCGATATTCTGCGCGCCGAAGTGGCGCCGCTCGACGTGTGGCTTCAGTTCGCCGTACGTGTCGCGCCGACGAGCGCCGGATTGGGATGTTGCGCGAGTGCTAATGCACGTTTTGTCAATGGACCCGTTTTTGTACGTATGCTGTTTCTGTGTACAGGTGGAGTACTACAATCAAGGCCACGTGGGGCAGTTCCAGGAGATCTTGGCCGTGGCTTCCGAGCCAGGCATTGAAGAGATCTACAAGGACAATGCGTCGCGCATGTGTCGCATCAAGTTCTTCATTGCGCTGGCGAGCCACGCTGTGAACGCCATGTGGAACGAAGAAGACGAGAAGAAGCGCGAAGCCATTTCCCAACGCGCTGTTGGCTATTTCCAGCGGGCCGATCGCCTCGACCACCAGCATCCCATGACTCTTGTCGGCAAAGCACTGATGTTCATGGCCAAGAACGAAGACGACCGTGCCGATCGATTCATCAAGAGTGTGCTGATCTCTCATAAAACGAATTTGCCAGCTATTTTGGGCAAGGCGTTGCTGCTGTATCGCAAGAAGCAGTACAAGGACGCCAAGAAACTGTATCTAGAGGCAATCAAGCTGCACCCGCGCAGTCCACAAGCTGCTAAAATGCGCATGTGTTTTGCGTACTGTTGTTACCATTTGGGAGCTGTAGAAAAGGCTCGCGCTGTTATGAAGTACACGGCGTCGCTGGATGAGACGAACGTGGACGCAGTGATTGCGAATGCTCTCTGGCAATTGGCAAGTCAGGGTCGAGAAGAACGTGCAGTAAGCATGCGTAACGAAAGCTCGCGCTTTATGATGATGATCCACCACGCCCACGCTATTGACAAGACGAACCCGACAGTGCTCAACCACCTGGCCAACCACTACTTCTCACAGTGGATTCCACTCCCTTGCACGGTGAGTGTCGTGCGTGGCTCGTCGATTGTGGCCACGTCCAAGGATATCTCGAATGAGGTATCTCCAGGTCAGATTATCTGCATCGGTGATAAGTATGTTGCGTACATAAGTCGTGACGAAGATGCCGTGACGTCATCTGGCCTGAAGCTTGATGGTCCGTACCGTGACGAGTCTGCGACAGCCACGAACATTGCACGGAAGGACTACGATAAGATGTTCACGCTGGCAGGCAACGCTTTCCACAGCACGAGAATTCCTGAGATACGCTCGGAAAGTTGTTACCTGATGGGACGTGGTTGCCACGCGCAGGGCAAGTACAAGGATGCGTACAGCTATTACTTCAACGCCGGACGGCTTTGGCCCAAGTTTGTACTTCCGTGGTTTGGACTTGCGCAGATGTACTACGAGCGGAAGGAATTCACGAAGGCTGCATCTTATCTGGAAAAGGCGAACAAAGCGTACCCAGAGAACGTGGAAATTCTGTCGCTTCTCGGCGATGTCTATGGCAAGCTTGGCAAAAAAGACGAGGCTGTTGTGTTGCTTCGTCGTGTTGTCGAGCTAGAACCGGGTAACGTGGAGGCCCTGATCGGCACAGCTGAACTCCTTCATGCGTCTCCCGAACGAAAAGACCAGATCATCGCGGTTTCTTCGTACATTGCCGCGCAGAAAGTTATGAGTAATGCCTCAGAGCGTGTGCCTATGGAAGTATACGTCAACCTCGGTGTGCTTCAGCAACGTGTAGGCAAAACCGCTGACGCCATCAAGTGCTTCCAGAAGGCGCTCAAACAATTGGGTGAGGATAGTGCAGATGAAGAGAGCAAGACAGAAGAGGCTGATACACTGGTCGACGAGAGTTTCATCCCGAAACCGACGGAGGCGAATGTGTCTATTCTGTACAACATGGGGAGAGTGTACGAAGAAATGGGCAACCGTGACTATGCCAAGAAGTTATATGATGCTATACTTGAATCGTTCCCCGGATACACTGACTGTTTGCTGCGTTTGGGCTGCATGCTGCGTGATCGTGGCCAAGAGGCTGAGGCGATCAAGGTATTTGACAAAGTGTTGGAGATCGATCCGACATGTGCCGAGGCCTGTTTGTTGCAGGGCAACATTCACTTGAAGAAGCGCGAATGGGTGTTTGCCCAGAAGAAGTATGAAAAGGTGATGGGAATGCCGGGTTTGAAGAACGACCCGTATGCGTTTTTATCCATGGGCAACATTTTCATGAGCAACCTTGGAGAAAAGAATCGATACACCAAGAACATGTCGTTGAGCGAAGTATACTACAAGAAAACGCTAGCATTGCACCCGCACAACATCTATGCAGCCAATGGACTGGGTATAATGATTGCCGAGAAGGGCAACTTTGAGCTCGCGAAGCAGATTTTTTCGCAAGTGCGTGAGGCCAGCCCGGACGTGCCAGATGCTTGGATTAATCTCGCACACATATTTGTCGCCGAAGAGCGTTACCAGGAAGCTGTTCAGCTCTATACTGTGTGTCTCACAAAGTGCTACCAGGGCCAGGATCTCGAGGTGCTTTTGTACCTTTCTAAGGCTTACTACGAGTGGAAAGATTTCCCCAGCTGCATCGCCACGCTGTCTCGAGGACTTCACATGTACCCGAACGACCTTCGTCTCTGGTACAATACTGGTCTAGCCCAAGAAGACTATGCCGTGACAACGTTAGGGCAGGAGAAAACGATTGCAAGAGCTGGAGGTGGTAATGCAGTCCCTCAACATCGAACGATGGCCGATGTGCAACGTGCCATCCTGGACTTGAAGCGCGCTCAGCGCATTTTCCGCTTTTTGCTTCAGCAAGCAGATGCTACCAGCCATGCAGGCGGTAGTGAGAAGAAGAAACACCACAACAGTCTGCCGTTTGATAAGGAAAAGGTGTCGGATCACGAGAAGTTTTGTGGCGATACACTGACAAAGGCGAGCTACCACTTGGAGTTTGAGCGTCAAAAGGAAGACAAGCGTCGGTTGGAGATCGAAGCTCAGCGGAAGTTGTTGCGCGAGTACGAAGAACGCGTGGCACGTGAACAAGAAGAGACGCGTATCAAGGAAGAAGATACGCGTAAGCGCTACGACGACATTCGACTGAAACAGGACGAGCGTCTGAAAAAGTTGCACGAAGGCTGGAGTGTGCGTGAACGTGAGGAGGAAGAGAAGAAAGTGGTCAAGAAAAAAGGCAGGAAGCGCAAAAAAACGGGCGACGAGGACAGCGGCTTTATCGATGACGGAGGAGACGAAGTGGACGAGGACGGCGGCAACAGCATGTCGATTGAGGATATGAAGAACCGCAACGCGACCATGAAGAAACTGGTGGAGAAGCGCAGCAAGCGCGCGCGTGGGGACACTGGCATGGAAGACGAAGTCGACCATTCGACGGGTCTCTTTGGTTCGGACTCGAGCGACGGCGAGCAAGAGGAGCGGAAGCCGACTGGAGCAGTCAAGGATGCAGATCAGGTGACGACCGAAGATGCGGCGACTGCTGAGAGTCGCGAAGCAGAGAAGAACGAGCTCTTTGGCTCGTCGTCTGATGAAGAATAGTAGACTGTGGGTGGTCGTGCTTGTTGTATACACTAAGGACTGCTCTTGCTTGTATACACTGAGGACTGCTCTTGCAACGCCTATGGTCTTGACAATGAATGCTACAGTAGCTTCGCCTCGAACTTGTTGCGTGCTTTTTTGCCAGCTCGGTACTGCAATTATTGCGCTGAAAAGCTGCTGACGTCCATGTCGAAATATTCGATTGCAAAAGGGCGCGCTGCGCCGCCTTCACTGTCATTGGTCGAAAATGCGATGGCGGATAGAAAGCGCGGGAGCCGTCCGGTGTTTGGCGCCACTTCTTGCGTGTGTCACTTTGGATCTGGCGCTCGACCGACAAAGCGACTGTTCCAGCGCGTACCCTCTACGCGAGCCACCTGCAGCTGCAATCCTCTTGTACTCGTCCCCACTATGGTCGCATCGCTGTCGGAACCGCGTACGACCGCAGACAAGTCGCTCGACCAACCAGAGCACGAGCTGAACCCGCTGGTGTTTGTAGGCCAGCGGGACGTCGCGGAGAAGGACGATACGAAGCAGAAGCAGACAGCGGCCGAAGCGTTTCAGAGCGACATGTCCGTGTACAAGCGCAAGGAGCTGCGCGGAGAGCTCCAACCCGAGCCGTTCCTCGTGCCGAACCCGAACCGCTTCGTGCTCTTCCCGATCCACGAGCACGACGTGTGGCAGATGTACAAGAAGGCAGAAGCCTCGTTCTGGACGGCAGAGGAGCTCGACTTGGTGCACGACCTCAAGGACTGGGTGGCCCTCACGGCCAACGAGCGGCACTTTATCAAGCACGTGCTCGCGTTCTTTGCCGCCAGCGACGGCATTGTCAATGAGAACTTGGCCATGAACTTTAGCAACGAAGTGCAAGTGCCCGAAGCTCGGTGCTTTTACGGCTTCCAGATCGCGATCGAGAACATCCACTCGGAGGTCTATTCGCTGCTCATTGACACGTACATTAAAGACCCGACGGAGAAGGACCATCTGCTGCGGGCCATTGAGACCATTCCGTGTGTTCGGAAGAAAGCCAACTGGGCGCTCAAGTGGTGCGACCCGCGCGTGTCGTCGTACGCCGAGCGGCTGCTGGCGTTCGCCTCGGTCGAAGGCATTTTCTTCTCGGGCTCCTTTTGCTCGATCTTCTGGCTCAAGAAGCGCGGGCTCATGCCGGGCCTCAGCTTCTCGAACGAGCTCATTAGTCGCGACGAGGGCATGCACACGGACTTTGCTTGCCTCATGTACTCCAAGCTGGTGAACAAGCTGCCAGAGGACCGCGTGCACACGATCGTTCGCGACGCCGTGGCGATCGAGCACGAGTTTGTGCGGGACTCGCTGCCCGTGGAGTTGATTGGCATGAACTCGGCGCTCATGTGCCAGTACATTGAGTTCGTGGCCGACCGCCTGCTGTACTCGCTCGGCGTGTCGAAGCTGTACCATGCCAAGAACCCGTTCGACTGGATGGACATGATCTCGCTCCAGGGCAAGACCAACTTTTTCGAGAAGCGCGTGGGCGAGTACTCCAAGGCTGGAGTCGGCGTCGCGGCGGAGGACCAGGTGTTCACTCTTGACGCGGACTTTTGATTGCTCGCTCACGAGGGGGACAGAGTCGTCTGCTGCGCACCACGCAGCGTCACGTATCGCGTGGTAGAGCTCGAAAGCTGCCGCTGCAGTAGTGTCCAAACCCAATTCGTTGCATATTTAAAAAGCATCTACTCGGGACGTTAGCGTGAAGGCTCACGGGTGCAACTTTAAGCGTACGGTCGTACCCACTGCAGTAAATGGGATCTGGAAAGCATCCGTGCGCATGCAGTTCTTTTACGTGCGTAGCCGTATCTTACATTGAGCTATGCCGATCAACACCGAAGTCGTGACGTTTTGCAGACGACATGTGCTCGCTCGACTCGAGATAAAACTACTGCCTGGTATCCAAAAAGTGTACGACCAAAAGCAGGTACCTGATGCGAGATCACCCACCATGCGCACTAGAGCCTCGTACCTACTTACCTTTCGCCCGAAACGCCTGAAGTGAATATCCGGTACACCATTGTAGGCGGATTGGGCGTTAGACTGGATCAGCGAGGCATTTGCTCTCGTGATTGCGACGGTTGATACTGCTTCTGACTAGCGCTCCTTGCAGCTAGATAGAGTATGGGCCAAAGTTCCATGATCTGCTCGTCGTGTAATGTTGCATCGGACGGCCATATACGCCTCACTTGCGTTTTTACACAGCTTTCGAGCTCGAAAGCAGCATATGCGCACTTAACCTTAGCCCCAACGCGGATACTGCATCATCACGGATAGCTTGCGCTAACCTGACAAAAGCTGCTTACATCAATCATCCGAGGGACGTCACTTTGCAATCAAGCATTGATAGTGTGTGTTGGCTATCCAGTCTATGGCCTTTCGCCCCCACAAATCCTCGTCAGCGTTGCTCTTCCTCGTGATCGAGTTGGCCACTTGTAATTTGCTGCACTCGTATCGTGCTACAGTTGGTCTGTTCCGGTGCAATTGCACGAAACAGTTATTTTCAACACACACAACAGCTGTTGTTCGGGAGACGTCAGGATTGATCGTACTACTAAAATTCAGCCACGATACCTACATCCTTGTTACCCACAACATATCGACGTGATCGCCTGACAGCCGCTGTATTTCTTACACTGGAGCCGTATCGACTGTGTGCTGCTGAGCGCTTGCGTGTGGACATGTTCAGGCACAGCCATTTTTGTTGGCAGCTACTTCTATAGTGTATATGACATACCCTCGACAGCGGTCGATGCCGCGTGCGTAGATCCCATGAAATCCATGTTCAGGCCTTCCTCCTCGTCCCCCTCTTGATCTTCAAAGCCGTCGCTATCGGCCATGCTGCTACCGCGTGGTCGAAAAGGTGACTGCTCGACGTCGGCCCACATGGAGTTGCGCGTAAACTTGAAATGCGTTTTTCTTGCCGTCTCGTTGCCAGCACCAGCATCGTCATCGCCAGTCGCAGGCTCACGAGCCGAGCATTCCGTCGTTTCGCACGTCGTCGGTGCCTCGAGAGACGCGGATGAGGCGATCACAAACGACTCAAACCCTTCATCATCATCATCATCATCATCATCATCTCGCCGCCTTCGTTTCCATCATCATTATCCCCTTCGCTTCCATCATCATCATCATCATCATCGCCGCCTTCGTTTCCATCATCATTATCCCCTTCGCTTCCATCATCATCATCGTCATCATCATCGCCGTCTCGGACGCTACCATCCTCTTCATTGGTCACCCTCCTGCGCGCATCCTCGATAGCTGCAGGTGCCAGTACCAAAAAGTCATCAACAGCAGGAGGAGATGGTGGACGTCGGTTCGACACGTAGCTGGCGTGATCGCGCAAGTGAGGCTCTCGTGACTGTTCCCGCGACATCCATTGCTGTCCACGACAACGCAAAGAATGAGCACTGTCCTGCTCCGTCTCCATGTCGTCCGTCAAGCTCGCAACCGGAGACACGTGCTTGGGCGCTGTCTTTTCCACAATAAAGCGGCCCTCTCGGTCCACCGGCATCGACGTCGTCACCGGGTGGTACGCGGTAAAGTCCTTGACGTTCATCGTCGCCCTTATCGCCTCGTTGTGCGTCGTCGACACGCCGCCACTTGCACCAGCGTGTGCTGTCGCTCCCGTACGTAGTGCCTCAACTGTCTCCACCGTCAGCCAATCGCGCACACTGGTGAACGGCACGCTGCTGCACGTCGGGCACTTGGGCGTCGTCGTGAACGTGTGGGACGCGAGCAGCGCCGTGAAGCTGCCGAGCGCTTTCTTGCGGTAGTTGATCACGGCCGGCGTCACGCTCGTGAACACGTGCTTGCGGGGGAACTCAAAGCGCTGGAGCACCTTCTCGTAGTTGCGGCAGCCAGGACACTTCTTGTCGGTCGACGCAAAGAACGCGAGCAGCGCGTTGCGCAGCGCGAGGAACGCCGAGAAGCGGCGCGCCACTTGCCACGTCTGCCCCGACCGGACGTTCGTCATGCGCACGTGGTACTGCACGTTGCCCGCGGCCGACGCGTCAACAGTCGCAATCTGCACGTGCACGAGGCACGTTTCGTCGACGCGGCCCTGGGCGCCGTTGCGCGAGTAGGCGTAGCGGCGCGTCGGGTGCTGCATGGAGCGAGTGGAGCGAGTCAATTGCCGTGTGACGGCAACCACCAGCAGCAGCAGTAGCAGCAGCGGTGGCGGCGGCGGGCCCGGGCTGCTCGGGGCGCGCACGTGCGGGCCCAGGTGGGCCGCCACAACGCGACGAGTGTGGCATATGGAGCTGCTCGCGCTGTCCCTCGCGCGAGTGACGGACGCCTGCGTGCTGATTGGTCGCGTGGCGAAAGGGGTGGGCCGCGGATAAGAGGTTGGCGCCACGGCGGGGGCGCGTAAGTTCTCTTGGAGTTTGTATGGGCTCGAGGCGCGACGTGGGTCAGTGGTGTGAAGGCGGTACAGAGCCGGACGCGCGAGCAGCTGCTGTGATGACGGCGGACAACGACGGGGCGAAGCTAACGGGGACGTCGACGGCGTAGCAAACGACCTCTCATGGGCGGAAGAAACCGACTCGTACACCGGTTTATCATCGGTCGTGCGCATCCAACACACACACAGTTTTGACGGTGCATGTGTGGTGCGCGTGTCGCGCACGACGGGCGACAGCCGCTGCACGCAGAACAGCACGACACGTTTCTTGTCAATCGTTTGCTGGCGTTCGGTTCTGCGCAGTGGGACTCGAGGTGCAGATAGCAGCCGACCAGACTTGTGAGTCGCAGGCGTGTGGTTTCTTCGTGCTGCGAGCGCTCTATGCAGTGCGTGCCTGCCGCCATATGCGTAGGAGGCGCATATGGCGATCATTGGGGCGTGGGACAGCTATGCGGAAGTAGCAGTTGTCGAACCCCTATTCGTCTGTCGTCTTAGGCGCATGATCCATGCGGTTACTCTTTGCTGGATACTGACTGTAATTGCCGCATGTTACGATACGACCCTGTAACTAATCACGTAAATGGCGTATCCTGATGACATTGAGGAAACGGTTGACCCGCAAGCGGGCGCAGACGTGACGGGGAAAAGGTACGCGGCGGGTTGTGCTACTGCGACGACGACGGTAACCGGTACTTTCGGTATACTGTGCACACCCTCGGTCGCGGCCCTATGAACGTTTCGCTTAGAGCCACGATTCTTGTCATATGGCAGGCTCGGCTCGTCGTGTTACCCAACCAGCTGGCAAAGCTGGATACGTGTGTTGGTCGTACCGTCACGAAAGACGTCATGCCAGCGTGTAGCCTGTTCAAAAGCTGCCGGAACGCACAGAAAGCTGCCCGTTCTGGAGAGACGCCGCAGCCACTACTACCCGGTCCGCTCGTGCTCCGATCCTTCGTTATCATGGCATCGACATTGTCGACGCTGTATCGGCCAACAGCGTATTACAACGCAATGTAGAAGACAGAGACACTCACAGACTCCCATGTCTTTGCCTCATCAAGCCATCGATTACATTATGCCACACAATGTCGCCATCACGCGTCTTTAGCCACGTCTTCCGTTGGTCCGCTCGTGCTATCCATCGCTTCATCGGCTTCCGCCCACACTGGTACACAACACATTGCACAAAACACGTGCATCAGCACTCCCCTTCTCGTGCATTGTGTCTCAGCACAATGTGTCCGCACACACCTGGTTTGTTCGAGCCAAGTTTCGGCCGATCAGGCTTGGCAATGGAGACCCGCAACGTCCTACCAAACAGCTCAGACTCTAGCGACCACAGCACAACACAACAGGGCGTGAAGGACAATGAATCAGCTGTGTACACTCTTCCAGCGCATTTAACACCACACGTGCTGCAATACTCACGTACCGTCCATATTGTCAATAGCAGCTCGTGCATCCAGTTCATCGATGAACTCGACAAAGCCAAACCCTTTGCTTCGATCTGCATACGCATTCATCGGTTGGGCCGAGCGATTCGTACCGGTATTCATTATCATAACCCCATCGCGCTAGTGACGTACGCGTCGAGTAGTCCATGGCAACCTGCACGCCCTTGATAGGACCAAAAGGGACGAATGCGGTGAACAGCGTGTGCTCCGTCACCTGTTTGTCCAGGCCACCCACGTACAACGCGCGCTTGTCCGCCTTTTTTGCCGTCGACGCCATTCTCGATGCAGTCAATTGTCAATAATACTGTGCTATGTCGATATTGAGTCAAACTTTATTTGCTGTCGACATTTGCGACGAATCATATCGCTCGTGCTGCTTGTATGGCCAATATCGTCTGCAAAGGCGGGCGCTGGCGGAGTCATTCAGCAATTATTGTATGTTCCGCCGAAACGCGAAAGTAAATGACCGTAGTACCGGTACTGGCCGACCCGAATGATGAGATTGGCCCGTGAAAAATAGCACGCTGCTTTCGAAATTTCGCAACAATTACGATCGAATTACCGGGTGGTGGTGGTCGCCGTACAAGTTTGGCCGTTTTGTGCGCTGGTCGTTCAATTTCGCTGCGCAGCGGAATGAATTAGGTCAATAATGGGTACTTTAGCCTCAAATTGTCCGAACCAATCGAGCTCGAATAATTACTTGACAATTTCAAGTTCAAATACCCATTGTTATCGCGTCACTTGACAATGACATAAGCGAAAATAGCGCGATTACCTGGATACAGACGATCAGGTTACATGTATAGGAAGAAAAGATTGGGTGAAATAGGACAATTGATAGTCAAAAACAGCAACAACATAGTATACAAGTAAATGAGTGATCTATGTGTCGAACCAGCGACCTCTCGCATGGTGCTGCCACACCATACCACTTGAGCTACAAGCTCTTGTGCGAACAATCATGCCGAAGTGCATGCCTGACAACACTCTCAATCGCCTCGGCAGAACTTAGCACCTTGGCACCCAGCATGTTCCGTAGATGCTGAAACTGGACTGCCGGAGTTGGCTTGGTCATCAGATCGGCCTACATGTCCTTGGTTGAGCAGATTTCCAGCACCAATATTCCTCCAACCACTTTTTCGCGCATAAAGTGATACCGAATGTCAATGTGCTTGGTGCGCTTGTGAAATATGGGATATTTGTAACGGGGCACACCCTTACGTGAACTTAACGCAAGTGTATCGTGCACCGACAAGCATAAACGAGGCAACCGAGGAAGCGGTAGGTAAGACAGAGGCAACACTGTCTTGGGGAAAAGTAGAACTGTTATATAAATATAATTAAGTCTTTAACCACTGTCTCTCTGTTTGACTTAACTTAATTATACTAATCTAACTGAATGTATGACGACGTCTACTCACCACTCATTGCGCGCGTCTTGCTGCGATCGGTGGGTTGATATCGTCAAGATATCAACCAATGAGCAGACTCTTTGGTCGACCCATCAATATCACCACTATTGGTGATATTGTTAAAAGAATATTCAACATAATATTCTTTATTGTCATTATCTCTCAAATGACAATTTCCATGTAACGGGCTGCCTCGTTACAATATTGGCCAAAGCAATGGAATCTTAACTGTCTTCGTAAACTTTCACTGACCCATCGCTCCTCATCTTGCCAAGCTCACATTAGAGCGCCTTCAGCCAAATTGCTTCTTGCGCAGCTTCTGTTAAAGCCATGTACTCCGCTTCTGTAGACGATAGAGCCACAGTGCTCTATTTCGTACTTCTTCAGCATACGCACCCGGTATTTAATACGAACGCGTACCGCTTGTGCTCCATCGATCTTCCACGTCTCCGGCCTAGTCTACATCTGAGTAGCCGTGCAAGTTGTCATTGCTTGTTGCTTGACACTCAATTCCTTATGTCTTCGTGCCTTGAATGTAACGGAAGACCGCTTAAGAGCTTGTCAATGAGTTGGACAAGGGTCTGCCAAGAACTGACTGAGCACTCACACTGCAGCTGCAAGGTCTGGACGTGTACTCACATGAGGTACATCAAGCAGCCGACGGCATCGCGAAACGATACATTTGCCATCGATTTGTCATGCTTGCACCCATCCACGCACATTGACCTTGTCAGCTCAAGTCCTGGTTTTTGCAGAGTTTTGACAGGATTGCTGTCTTCTATGTCAGATGTTTCAGAAATAGCCTTCGCAATTTTGGACTGGCAAATTAAAGTCGTGCCAGCTAAGTGATCTTGATCAGCTTCCATCCCTAGGAAGTACTTGCGGTCTCCAAGATCCGTCATGTCAAAGCGCCCATGTAGCGCATCCTTGGTGAAAACAATCAGTTCGGCGTTGTTGCTTGCTAGGACCGAATCTTCAACGTACAGCGCCAAATAAATCACGTCTTCATGGTTTCGCTTGACATAAATGCAATGATCGGTCTTGCACTTTTGAAACTTCAAGTCCAGCATAACTTGTCGATGGTCTGGTTCCACATCCGTGTGACTGCTTCGGACCATAGAGAGCGCTTTAGTCGGCAAACAAAATCCGGATGATCGATATCGACGTACCCATCCGGCTGCGCCATGTAAATGTCTTCGTCAAGGTGCCCACTCAGAAATGCTGTCTTTGTAACGGGGCACACCCTTGCGTAACTTAACGCAAGGGATTTGGGTGCCCCGACGGACGTACACGTGGCGAGCGAGGAAGCGTAGGTAGGGTAAAAGTAGAACTGTTATATTAATAAATTAAGTCTTTAAACTACTGTCTCTTCGTTTGACTTAATTCAATTATACTAATATAACTGCATGTATGGTGACGTCTCGTCACCACTCATTGCGCGCGTCTTGCGGCGATTGGTGGGTTGATATCATCACGATATCAACCAATGAACAGACCCTTTTGTCGACCCTTCAATATCACCACTTTGGTGATATTGTTTAAAGAATATACATCTTATATTCTTTATTGTCACTTTCCTTAAGTGACAATATCATGTAACGGGCTGCCCCGTTACATCACCCCCCCTTAAGTGATAGTCACCGTATGACTATCGAAATATGGAGGCCACCCGTTGGCCACCATTGGGACAGGGAGTACTTGTTTGGTCCGTTCCACTCACTTTCCGCTTGACCTCGCATAGTTAACATGTCTATGCGAGGTGACTCAAGACCCACACAGCCTGGTGCTGTGCAAGCCTCTGCGGCAGACGCTTCGTCGTCTGCCGCCCCTTTCTTCGCCTGCAGCAACAGGTGCTGCAGGTGCACGCGGTATCACGCCGCGTGCGTATGATGACCCCGATGTGGAGGTCATCTACTCTGGCGAGTCAGACGTGTCTGACTCGGGCAATGCTCCAGAGGCGTCTCGCTCACCGGCGACGCCTCAGTATTCGCCAAGGCCACTGCCGAACGAACGGACTCGTGATTCGCATCACAGTTTGTTCGGCAGTGATGACGATGATCAGGGTGGTGAGTTCTATTCTTCACCACCGCCGGCTCGTGCGTCTTCGCACGAGCGTGTTGACGATGGCGCGAGCCGTCGTCAATCTGGGAGCCGTGGTACCGACAAGGGTACCACTGTGAAGCGTGATGAGTTGAAGCCGTGGCGTTTGCCCGAACAACTCATCAATAGCCTGTCTCACGAGACAGGCCAACACCATCGAATACCCTTATTCGATGCAACCGAGCTTCACGGCTTGAGTCCCAGCGCGAAGAACTTTCGCGCTGAAGAAGATTTTTATTTCGATGTCTTCCTTAGACATCGATGGTACAATAGCAACCAAAAGCGTGACAAAACATCGCTTTTGGCTGCGTGGAACGCGTTCGTCCAAAACGTAAAGAATTTTGGACGAGAAGGGTGGCTCAAGAAACTTGAGGCAACACGCCTCAGGTTCGAACGGCGAACGCCAACCGGTGCTAGGTACCGGTTGCATTGTTTATCGAGTGAGGCAGGCATTCCTTGCCTCACATGGGGAGACCCTTGTGCGAGTTGTGTTGACAACTCGCAGCGTGCACATAGGGATGTGTACTCCCTAAGTTCGCCCTGGGGAAGGGCACATCTCTCGGAGGAGATGCGTGACGCGATTGCAAACTTGCAATCCGTCTACAAGCGCCTAGGGCGCGTGTTTACCGATGGGCCACAGGACTCATCGGATGGGTCTCGTCATACTGGTGGACGAGACCTTCAACATCCATTAACAGCTGAGAGCGGGGCTCCCAGCTGTTCCAAGAGGGTGGATACCCCCGCCACTGGACGAGGTAGCTCGTCCTTGATCCTGAATCGTCACGGTGATTCAAGATACGCTCCACTAGAAAGCGTTGATCACCGTGAGCATCCACCAAAGGATGTGGTGGAGGAGGAAAGACCTCCTCCAGAACCCCAGGCCCACCATCTCGACCCTTACGAGATGGATCGCGCAATCGATGAATTGCGCGATGACTTGAAGCACGAGCGCGACCGACGCTACGCTTTGACCGACACCGTGCGGAAGAACCGCAAGGATCACGAGGCTGATCGGGCGAGGGATCGCGCCGATTATGCCACGGCGCAGCTTCAGGTCGAACGGGATGTCCGCTCCTTTTCGGCGAGCTGGCGACAGCTCGCGGAGAGATAACTCGGTTGAATACCGAGGTATCATATCTGCGCGACCAGACGGATCGTCTGGAGCGCGAACGCAAGAACTTGATGGATGTTCTTGAACGTGGGGGCTATCTTCATCGGAAGAAGAAGGCTCGTACTGACAGTACGACCTAAGCCTCCCCACGTAAAACGTAGGATGCGTGCGCATCCTACGTGGCAATTCGAGTGTGTATGCATTGCTCTTGCGATGCAACACTCGAAATGGCCCAATGTATTTCGGCAGTAGTTTACTACTGCCGACACTAGTGACTGCATGTCCAGGTAGGTTTACCGTTGACAGTAGTACTAGGTCATTAACCTTAAATGAAAGAACATTTGCTCTTCCATTCTTGTCTGCGTTCCGTTTCTGACGGTCCACCGCATTTGCGATGGAGTCCTGAACGAAACGGACTACCGCTTCTCGAGTCAGCAGGAAGTTCTCTGCTGACTCTTTGTTTTGTCTAGCAGTGTGCTTCGTGCGCACTGCTAAGAGATTGCTCTCTTCTTCAGCGAGGTTGTCTTCTTCCTCGCTGGCATAATCGTTGGCGATGCTGAATATACCAGCATCGTCATCATCATCCGAATCAATAATAGCGTCTTCGCTATTATTGAGATGATCTTCTTCATCGATGTCGACTTGATCGACATC